GGACTTAACCTTGAAAGAAGAATATTGGACAAAATTTTATATGAAGTTCATAGCAGTGATATCCCCCGACAATTACTACAGTCAGTTTTATCACCATTCTTGTGCACGGATACAATAATAGACTCCTTCCACTGATCAGGCAATTTTTCCTTATGCCAAATAGAAGTAATTAGATTGTGGATCTTAGAACGTAATATTTCGCCTCCTGCTTGAATAAGTTCTGCCGGAATTTGATCACTACCTGGCGATTTATACCGTTTCAATTTTGCAATAGCACTTTCAACTTCAAAAGGGCTAGGATCAGGTACTAACGGCTCAGCTGTATGGATTTCTGTCTGCCTAACATCACTGACCCTATGTACATTCAATAACAGAGAAGTAGTTCCTCCACCTATTCAAAATGTTGTGGGAATCTGCAAGCAGATCACCATTCTCATCCTTCACTAAGTTACTGCTAGGCTGGTAACCCCTCTTAAAGTCATTTATTCCTCTATACAGGTCTCTAATGTTCTTGTTCTTACTGTTCATTGCAAGCTCATCAATTTTGTCTTTCAAATATTCCCTCTTTTTGTTCCTGAAATGCCTGCTGGTTTCACGTCTTATATTGTTCAGATTATCCCCATTTAACTCACTTGGATCCTGTAACCACTGCAATTTGGCCTGCTTTCTTTGATCTAATAATTTTGAGCATCCTTCATCGAACCATGGCTTATGCTTCTTCGGTTCATAATAACCTAGACTCTCTTTGGCAGACATTTTTATATTCTCTCTAATAGTTTCCCAAGCTTTATTAACATCCACCTCAGTTTCCAAGTTTTCCAAAGCCGTGAACCTATTTGAGATTTCAACACAATACTGCTCTTTACCCTCTACCTCATTTAATTTCTTGAGATTGAACCTCTCCATATGAACTCTGTGTGTTGTTTGTTTGCTCACTGCCAGTCTTTCCCTAACCTTTGCCACCACCAGGTAGTGGTCAGTATCACAATCTGCTGCCCTGAATGATCGGACATCAAGTATACTTGAGTGCCGTCTCCTGTCTATCAAAATATGGTCTATTTGATTGTGTATCTTCCCATCAGGAGATGTCGAAGTAAATTTATGGATGTTAAAATGTGGGAACATTGTACTTTTGACAGTAAGATTTTTTGATGTGGCAATGTATACAACCCTAACTCCATTATCATTACTAATTTCATGCAAATTCTCATTCCCAATTGTTGGTTTGAAAATGTCTTTCCTCCCTACCTTGGCATTGAAATCTCCTAACAAAATTTTCATAGGGTACTTTGGGAATTTATCAAATACGTATTCTAGTTCTTCATAGAATCTATCCTTTATGTCATGAATCTTATCTCTCTTGGGGCGTGAACATTCATAACACAGATAACATGCCAGCGACCTTTTAGTATTATATATGATATCCTATCACTAACGAACTCTACCCTCTTAACTGCTGATATGATTCTCATATGTATGAAAAAACCTGTACCTAATTCATGATTTTCATTCCCTTTCCATAGAAAAATGTATAGTCTCCTGCTCTCCTGCTGGTGCGATGCCACCTCCATCCCATCTGACCTCCTGTACTCCCGCTAAATCTAACTTATATTTTAATTCTTCTGCCACTGCCCTGAGTGAACCTGACCTATACAAACTTCGTACATTCCAAGTGCCAAATCTCATATTCATTTTCATTAGCTTAGGTCGTTTATCCAAAGAATCTGTTCAGTTCTGAGGTTTTGTGTTTATTTTCGTAACATAATGATTTTTAACGGTGAGGAGTTGTTAGCTCCACGCCCAACCCCCAAGCTGGAGGGCCACCCCTTGTTGGCTGTCCACGACTGCTTATTCAATATATTTGCAGCTTCCCTCCAAAACTGGAAGGTGTCCCCTCCATCTGCAACCTGAGGATGTGCCATGCCGTGGGGACCGGAACCCACCTAACATGGGCCACAGTACAATCAGAAGTGAATTCTCCAGCTGAAGCAATACTTTATGTTTATCAATCTATTACAGCCTTTTTAAACAACAGCAGAAAATGTGTTCAAAAGTTAAACTGAACATTCAAATCATCAACAGATATGTGTCAAAAAGTCCGTACTTTTTCTGATGGTGCCAGCATTATGCTGAGCAGAAAATCACATTTCCCAAAAAGTTAACCCAACAATTTCCTAAATTTGGGATGCAGTGTCTTGGGAAATATTATCGGAAACTGATATTAAAATTCATCTCAAAGAACCACCATAAAATCAACAAGCTGCAGAGAACTTTCTTAACAAAAATTCATAGCATATTTTGAACCATGTACGTATATAATTTATTTTATTTAAATTCAGTTAAGAATGAAAAAGGAAACACTGCTTCACAAACTGGCAGTACATTTCTAAGTCTGTCTATACGGTACTGAATGACTGAAGAACTGTGAATAATGAACTGATGAGGATACTGATGGAAGCCATTACAACTGTATTTAAGAACTATCCCAGCACTTGACCACAGTGACTCCACTTGAAGTTGTTCAGTAGTTTCCAACAAATATGCAGATAAAAAGATGGGATGTGATTCCTCCATTATGCACACATTTCATACAATTCATGCATGGATCCACAAAGACACAAGCCTAGAAATGCACAAGAAATGGTAGAAAAACTATGGTATAAATGAAATTATGTACTCACTGGTATTTTGGATGTCCTTAAGAACTCAAGGAGGGCCTCTAGTGAGCCAAGTGTTGAAGCCTGCACATACACACCCCTCTCCTGCAGTTTGATGTTGCTAAGAGCAGACCGCAAATCCCGAGAAACTTCTTCACGCAAAATATCGACCTCATCAGACTTCTGAGCCACCTGAAGATTGAGGCCTACACAGATGAATATTCATAATTAAATATTACAAACTAAATTGTGTTTTGGAACTGCAGTAGCCAGATATCTGGTTCTGCGCAGACCTTATTCTGAGACTTAGAAACCCATTCTGTATGAGATTCAAGTTGGACAGAATAAGACAGAAAAAAAGTTGTCAATCTTTCAACTTATTGTTGAAATCTTACATTTGTTGTACTGTGTCAAAAATACTAGTTGTGATCCACTTATTGAAGTAAAGCAATATTAGATATGGACAGAGTTAGAATATATGACCTCTTGGGAATCCTATGAATTTATTGGTAGCAATAAAATGAAATAAGACATGATCAACAATTTTTTTCACTGTACAGTCACTATGTGAAATACAGGATTTATAAAATAGATAGTTTACATTACTGAAGTTGACACATCATATGTGTTCAAGAGAGTGAAACCATAACAGAGTGCATATTGCTTACAAGAAGGACTTCACTGTAGTGACAAAAATCACTGGTTTCTTAATGTTACATATGTGGAAAACTATTGGATAAAATGAGGTGTTTTAGATTATGAAGGGTTCTGATGATGGTACGAGGGTAAGTCAATTAGTAAGTTACAAAAGGATATACGTTGTGCGTTCAAGTTCTAAGGTCTCCGTTTTTTTTTTCTCACACAATAATCATACAAAAAATTTGAAACTTCTGTCACTTTTCGACGTAATCTCCCTGCAGCCGTACATATTTTTCACAACGTCGATGCCATGATTCCATGGCCGCTGCGAACGTTTCTGTAGGAGTCTGTTTTCACCACTGGAAAATCGCTGATGCAATAGCGGCATGACTGGTGAATGTGCGACCATGGAGAGTGCCTTTCATCGTTGGGAAAAGCCAAAAATCGCTAGGAGCCAGGTCAGGTGAGTAGGGAGCATGAGGAACTACTTCAAGGTTGTTTTCATGAAGAAACTGCTGCGTCGCGTATGCCCGATGCACTGGTGCATTGTCCTGGTGAAAGAGCATATGTGCAGCCTTTTCCGGCCGCTTTTCTCCTAGTGCTGGAAGGAGCTTGTTCTTCAAAACATCTTGGTAGGATGCACCTGTCACAGTAGTGCCCTTTGGAACGCAATGAGTAAGGATTATGCCATCGCTGTCCCAAAACATGGCCACCATCACTTTTTCAGCACTGGCGCTTACCCAAAATTTTTTTGGTGGTGGTGAGTCTGTGTGCTTCCATTGAGCTGACTGACGCTTTGTTTCAGGATTGAAAAACGGCATCCATGTCTCATCCATTGTCACAATTGATGAAAAGAAAGTTCCATTCATGCTTTCATCATGTGGCAACATCGCCTGGCAAACTGCCATGCGCGCAGCCTTGTGGTCGTCCGCCAGCATTCGTGACACCCACCTGCAGGACACTTTCTGCATTCGCAGGTCTTCATGCAGGATTGTGTGCACAGATCCCACGGAAATGCCAACTTTGGAGGTGATGTTTTCCACACTCAATCAGTGATCCTCCAAAACAACTTTCTCAACTCGCTCGACCATGTTGTCAGACCGGCTGGTGCGAGGCCGAGATGGTTCATTGTCACACGACATTCGGCCTTCTTTGAACTGTTGCACCCATGAACGTACATTTTTCACATTCATGACACCATCACCACATGTCTTACTCAACTGGTGATGAGTTTCAATGGGTGTTGCACCACGCAAGTGGAGAAAACTAATGATTACTCGCTGTTCTTGTAACGAAAACGTCGCCATTTTAAGTATCAAAAACACTCCTCACTCTCGTTGCCACCACTAGAGTTCTGTGCCGTACAGTGCTGCCATCTCTGTCATGCATTCACAAAGAGTACACACATATTTCAAACTAAACCGCATGTGTCTATCTGCTGCCAGTCCTGAGAAAAAAATCGGAGACCTTAGAACTTGAACGCCCCTCGTAGAACTTAAACAAATAAGAGTACTGATTCGAAAAATGCTTTTATTTCTCAACATGATCTCCCTGTACATTGAGGCACTTGTCCCATCATTTCACAAGCCCCTGAAAACCAGCAGCATAAAATTCTTTGGGCTGCTGTTGGAACCACGCGGTGGCTTCCCTTTCTACAGCTCCATCGTCAGGAAAATGTTCAGTTGAAAGATGATGTTTAAGAGGGCCGAACAAATGGAAGTCGCTTGGAGCAAGACTCATCACCTGTGACAATTCGGGCTAGCATATCGTGTCCTTCATCGTGGTAGTGATTGAGATGCTGCAATACTGGACCCATTCTTGCATTTGTGTTGTGTGGTCAGCATGCATGGCACCCATCGTGCACAGACCTTGTGAAAACCTAACCTGTCATGCAACTTCCATTTGTTCGGCCTTCTTAAACATCATCTTTCGACTGAACATTTTCCTGACAATGAAGCTGTAGAAAGGGAAGTCACCGCCTGGTTCTGACAGCAGCCCAAAGAATTTTATGCAGCTGGTTTTCAGGGGCTTTTGAAATAATGGGACAAGTTCCTCAATGTACAGGGAGATTATGTTGAGAAATAAAAGCATTTTTCAAATCAGTACTCTTATTTGTTTAAATTCTATATCCATTTGTAACTTACTTATTGACTTACCTACGTACATGAAGACTCACAACCACTGGGTTTTTGGACTTTCTCCATTGGCTGGAATTCTAGGAACTAAAAAGGTATACAATTTGAGGAAATGGATCTGTTTCCACTCTCAGGTGGAAGGTGGAAGACATGGACCCAACAGAGTAGGTGTCTCCACCCATCAACTGAGCATGGAAACAGATCCATTTTCTGAAATGTTGTGTACTTTTTAGTTTCCAACATACCATATGATGGATAAAGTCCAAAAATCCAGTAACCCTGAGAGGTGATATCCTTGCATCTTCTTCATGACAGTGATTCTTAAGTAGGTGTCACTGTTTTTCTCTAACTCTTTGCAGCAACTGCACTTGAAGTCTTGTGGAGTCATTTATTACTAGCAGTGTGTAATAACCCTGTTAATCAACCCTGCCTGCCCTACCCTTATCTAAGAAAAAGGCTGCACTGCAGAATCTGCAACCTGCTGCCACCCACCTGTGAGGTTGGCCTAGGCTCAGTAAATGTAGATAGGAGGGTGAGAAGGGATCGGGAACAGGTTTCCTATTACCCATTGCAAGTCAACAGTTATAGCAACCATTGTTCAGAGTTGTGCACCATGCATGACTTGGTGAAATGTTTTATGGTATAATTTAAAATGCCCAGTAACCGTCAAGTTTGCATATAAGTGGCAGCTTACCCCCTCCAAGTTCCAACCATTCAAAAATGTATATCATGTGACAACCTCCAAACTTCCTCTTCAATCCAGAAGCTTGTGTCACTGTCACATGATAAGAGTTGGAAACTTTTCTTTGTCCGAGTTTCAAGTTTAAGTTCTACCCCAATTATGGCAATGCAATGGAAAACCTTAGGCTTGACTAGAAAGTTTGAAATAATTTGTCTGTATGAAGACGATAGCTCTTCAAAAACTGAAATAGGAAGGTAGCATGGATTAACTTCAATACAGCTTACGATACTGAAGAAAAAAGCGAAAATATGGCCAGCTGTTCTGTGCAATGGAAGACTGGAAAAACAGAAATGAATGGGGAATTCAGAGAATAGAGACTTGAAATGTATGCTCTTCATGTGGTTTTGCCAGGACAGATCAGCTGGTGTTCCAAATGATGGACCCACAATCTAAGAAAAAGCCAATATTTTCATGGCAAGATTCAAATTTGAGAACTTATGGTGTTCCGAAGGGTGGTTTCACTGATCTGATGCAAGATGAGGCATCAGAATGCATAAAGCGTCCAAAAATCACCTGAAGTGGATCCAGATGTCTTTGAAGATTGGGTTCCATTCCTAAATGAGTTACTGTAATGGGATTTTCCTCAGGATATTCACAATGCAGATGAAACTCTAAGCATGTATACCTATTCAACTGTTTATTAATAATCTCTACATGTTTCGACCATCCAACTGGTCATCATCGAATGATAAAATACAAGTGTTTTTGAATTGCAACCACTTTAACATTTGGGCCCATATTTGCAATCGTTTCTGTCTACTACCCGTGCCGAATTCAGTGATATAAATCATAAAATTATACAGTTGCTACAGTATAATGTAGATTACGTAAAATTAGGTAAAATGTAGTTGGAGTCAAAAGCACTATAAGGGTGTAGTCCTTTCTTCCCCATGTTAGCTTGGTGTTGATTAGCAGTCATGATGTATGTGAAGCTTTGGAACAGACAGATGGGTGTTACTTAGCCTGCTAGGCTATGGTTCTTCACTTGTATACTCCTGGGCTCTATAGCTTAAACTATACAGCCCTAGAGTACACAAGTGACACTTTGGAATAGACAGATGGGTGTTACTTAGCGTACTAGGCTATGGTTCTTCACTTCCTTCAATTCTAGACACGCACCTGATAAATTATGATTATTATGATTGTGTGCCAGGGAATTTGTTACATTTCTGTTACACATAAAATAATCATAAAGTATCCTACTTTTGCAAGATTTAAATTTCAATACATCACTTTTTATATTTTTAATAGTAATGACCTCACCTGCAATTGCTTTTTCCAATTCCTTTCCTGCAATTTTAACACCCTGTGCTGCTTGAATTTCCTTGTATTCCACATATGCATTCTAGAATCAAGAACAAATAAAAAAAAAAATTAATTCACCTTTTCAGTATCACTAACTGAAGTGAACAGAAAATGATTGTATCCTTGTAATGTTGAAAAAGGTTCGTCAATTACAACCAAATTTGTGTTATACAATTTTCAGTGTCAATACTTGTGAATTTCTGCTATATCATTCGAAACTAAGCATTTTCCAAATTTCTCACCTTTACTCTAAGCTCTTTCATTGGCTGAGGCATCAGCAGTGAACGAATCTGTGTCACGATTGGTCCATCTGTTCCTGCTAGTACTACGGTGTCACCTTCCCGGAGCCTCCCATTGACTAAAATAGCATCAATTGTTGTTCCCAAACCTGGAATTGCTTTTACCTCCAATACTGTAGCCTTTAAAACAAAAGAGAAAGACCACTTTCAAAGACTGGCTCTTAAGCTGCTAGGAGAAAATCAGCATATGACCACAACTTATATAAGAAAAATAAGTAATAAAACTTAATATAATGAGCACTCATACGAGATGCTATCGGAAAGTTCCTGGACTGTTACTGTTGTAACTGACTTGGTGAATGATGAGAGAGAAGGCCAAGGTCACACTTCAGCAAATCTACTACATCAGTCTGTGACGTGATACCGTGTTGTGAAAACACATTGTTTTTATACAAGTGTTTTCTTGACTTCGTTTTTCGCAGCAAAACAACATAAATGTTGGGAAAAAATTGAGAATTCATCCATAAAGACCGTTGCCAAACAATCCATGACCTTGCAGACACTGCTGGTATCAGTTATGGAGTTTGCCAGGAGATCTTAACAGAAAATTGAACATGCGGTGCACTGCTGAGAAGTTTGTTCGCCGACGCTTGACAAAAGCGGTTGCATGTAAACAGTGTCTTGAGCTACGAGAGAAGGCTAATGAGGACCCAACTTTTATGAATATCTCTAGGATCACAATGGTTGACAAAAGCTGGATTTACGGTTATGATCCAGAAACAAAGCAATAATCTTCGCAACGGAAGAGCCCACAGTCACCAGAACCAAAAAAGTCATGGCAGGTCTGCAGTTCAACAAACATCATGCTCACTGTTTTTTTTTTTACATGAAGGGGACTGTTTACCGTTAACTTGTTCCTTTTAACACTACAGTCAACTCTGACATTTACTGTGATGTTTTGAGGTGTTAGAGAGAACATGTGTGAAGACCAAAACTTTGGTGCAACCACAACTGCCTCCTTCATCAAGACAATGCACATCCACATGTCCCTGAAAACCAGAGTTTGTGACAACAACATGGTTATCATTCCCCATCCTCCTTACTCACCAGCCTTAGCCCCTTGTGATTTCACTCTGTTTCCCAAATTGAGAATGAAACTGAAGGGGCGATGTTTTGAAAAAGTGTCCGACATCCAAAGGGAATTGCAAGCGGTACTCCACAGCATTAAGGGAAATGGTTCCACAATGCTTTTGAAGGGTGAAAAAAATTATGGGATCGCTGTATACGTTCCCAATGAGACAATTCTGAAGGACATGGCAGCCAGTAATTCTTTTTTGACATTGTCTGGGAAATTTCTGATAGTAGCAACCTGAAAATGTGTAAAGTTCAGAATATCTATGACCAACATCTAAGTCATACACCAATACTTCTTGAAGTGATATTGGTCTGCTAGTCAAGAAATTTCCTACCTCTTATTTAACCCAAATCCTTGCTTGATGTCTTTCTGTCACTGTACCATATTCTGAGACAGGGGAATCCAGTCTACATTCTCACATCATATATGGTAAATGCTACTAGTTATGGTCTTAACAATCTCACTGGCTTCTGTATACCAAGCAATGTGAAGGAATTTATTTATGTGATGTAAGCACCTATGAAGCTGGTCCAGGAACTTAGTTTTTTAATGCACAAATATTCTCCAGATATTACCTGCAGTTCTTCAGAGTACATAAGCCGCTTGGCAAGCATGTTCTGGCAGCTGTCAACGATCAGCGCCAGGAGATTGCCAATGCCTTCACCTGTTATGGCACTTGTTGGCACTAAGGATACATAGCTGCGGATGTCAGGGTTGTCATAGAAGAGAGAAGCATTTAATCCCTGCAAAGAAATTAGCCCATTTAGCTTCATTATATACATTTACTACACTATATACATACCATTTCATACAATTCTGACTAAAAGCAGTCCACATTATAAGTACAGGACTGCTCAAAATCCAAGTCAAATTTATTTTCAAATTTGAGATCTCAAAGTTACAACCTAAAACATATGCCAAATAATTTGAAGCAGAGAATATGAATATTGAAGACATGAAGGATAACTGTCTTTAAAAATAATGGAAATATGTAGATATGCTTATCTTCTGAACTACAAAGTAATGGATATAAAAGGAGTTCTCACAGCGACAGTATACAGTGAAGGCTTCTTGGGTGACCAGACATGCCAATGTGAAGTCAATGTATGACATTTCACAGGCAGTTTCTGAAATGTGTCAACTCCTCAGTGATAAGTCTGATCGCATGAGAAGGCTTCAATGAGGATCAAGTCAGTTTGACATGTACTAGACACGGAAGAGACCTGAAGAGAAGAGATCACTTGGGAGATCTATATGTAAAAAAATGATACAATTATAATGGATCTTATACATACAGTGTATGAGGATGTGGATTGGGTTCAGCTTGCACAGGATAGGATCCAATGACATGTTCTTGTGGATACAGTAGGAAACTTTGAGATTACTTCACTGCAGATAAGGTGCAATTGACATAGAGCAAACATGGAAGAAACCTGGAGGAAGAAAAAATACTTGGGAGATCTAGGTGTAAATGGAAGGATATCATTAAAATGGATTGTACAGATATATGGTATGAACATGTGAACTGGATTCATCTGGCTCAGGATAAGCTGCAATGGCACTCTTGTGAACACAGTACTGCACATTCAGGTTCCATAAAAGAGGGAAATTTATTGGCTTGTCGAGTGTCTGTGCTTCTCGAGGTGGACTCTGCTCAAGTGAGTTAACCTGTTCCTTGAGCTTGAAATTGCTGGCCTGCTAGAGGGTAATAATTTTGTAGTGTCCTGTGAGAACAGGACTTTCAACATGATGAAGCTCCTTCCCATTATACCAGACTTGTGATGCAACATCTCAATGATACTGTAATGTGTCTGGAATCCAGAAGAGTCACTTCTATGGAAACGCTAGAACACACCGTTGCATAGGAAACAACAATCGCTCTATTGTAGTTCTAACAGGGGTCTCCATGGTTATAACAGACGCTTTGTTGCACAGCAGCGACCGAGGTGCATTCGCACAGTTAGTCTGCTATAAACTGCCAGAGAAGACAGTCCAGTACCGCCGAGATATTGTAAGCAGTAATTGTAACACTGCAAGAGCAAATGATTGCAAGGTGTGTAAGGTGAGCGAGTGGACTAAATCCGCTATATCAAACACCACGTAGATTTATTTGTAGCGTGACACACAAAACACACTACACTGGTGTCAGAAGTGGGATGCTACACTGGTGTAGCATCAATACGCTACAATACTTTCTCTAATTGTTGGATTGGCACTGGCAGTACCATTAAGTGGCCACCAAGATCTCCTGACCTAACCTTGTTAGATTTTTCTTTAGGGCTTCGATGAAGAGTAAAGGGTACATAAGAAAAGTGGATGATGGATGTTATCGCCAGCATAAAGGAATGTCAAGATGCACTCTGACAAGCAACATGCCATGTACTCACACAAGTTGAGTTACAAAGTGCACTGATGTTGATAGTGGAATTTTTGAAAATGTATTACACTAGGTAAACTGTACCAAATTTGTCACTTGAACAATAAATGCCTATCTTAGAAAGAGTACATAATATCTCTTTCTCATTAACAATTTTTTAACTGTACAGTGAAACAGCTCTAGCTTGGAAACTGTCCGGAATAGGACTATGAACCTACACACTTTCTTGCTTAGAATGACCGATATTATGACCTCCCAGAATACTGACTGTTCTTCCTTGGACACTCTGTATACTAACATAACAAACATGCCACTCACGTTTATGCCCATACCCACCATCCACACAACCTCAAACACATGAGAAAGCTTTTATTTCAATCACTTTCCCTGTAGCATAACAAGAGCTACAGTGAGTTGCTATCTTAGAGATGACAACACGCTGAACAAATGTAAATGGCATATTAAGAGGGCAATCACATGAATAAGATGTAACTGGAACCTGATTATTTCAGGCTATGAATGCTCTTCCTAGTGTTGATGTTTATAAATAACTGGGAGCCAGAAGTCATAACGGAAGTGTGTGGAGAGCAGTGGAGAACATTATAGCAGCTATAAGCTGGTTACAATTGCATGTAAGGACTGCAGGTATGCTGTCACAGCAGCGTGATGATTGGCAACCATGATTAAGGGAACGCCTTCACAACAGTGCAATATATGACCAATAGAGAGGATGTACACGCTGTGTGTAAATGCACATTCTTTCAAGCCAATAATTTCAAAACCAATACTTTGTAGACTGATAATCCAACAAGAACAACAATGAAAACAGCAGCAAGAGCAACAACAAAAACAACAAGCTGTATACTAACCTGTTCGGCAAACTGCACAATCACTTCTTTAGTCCTGTGTTCAAATTCTATTTGTGTATTAGGAGCCTGTGCCTTGAGTATATCCCTTATATCTTTCCTGTTCATTGTTTGCCAGTCATAAAGCCTGTAAAACAACAAAATTAACTATGCTCAGCCACTGAAAATAAAATCCATGACTACAGTACTTTTATTTCTACAGGTAAAACCACAAAGAGCAGAGTCCTTTATGAGAAGATGATATTTGCTCAAATGGTGAAAAATTCCATGCCTCATAAGCAGGGCCCGGATTCTGATGACATGTCATCTTTTTTTCTTCGTATACTATGCGATGCTCTTAAATTTATAAATCTCGGATATGAGCTGCTGGTTACAGAAATGTAAATTTTATAGGTCATTTTTTCATTTTTGGGGTAATTTTTTGGACTTTAAGGGCATTTCTTGTCATTTTTGGCCATTTTAGGGAATTTCTCTTCATATGTTTTCTGAAATGTGAATAACATGGAAGTGAAGTGTTCTACAGGAGGCCAATCAATAATGATGACCAACCTCCTCAGCCCAAAGAATTAACTGTCATATCTGTTTGGCGCAAGAGAGAAGACAAAGTATCATGACTAAATGCAACAAGTGTTATGTTGATCTCTGTATTTTGGGGTGTTTTCAGGAGTACGCCATCAAGGAAAGATTATGTTATATCGTGCAGGGGTGAGGACAATACACATGTGAAGCAGATAGCAAAAAGGAAAGGTATGGACATTAAATTTCATTATATTTAAATTTAAATAAATATATTATTCACTACGTTGTCGACAGTTGTACTAGCAACTTTTATAAGTACAATTCTGCGCAGCAAGGCAAACCCTAGTTTATACTTAAATATATGAAAATGTTGAGCAAGGATCATAAAGGTTAAATAAGGTCTGGCATATCAGTTAAAGAAATAAGACACAGATATCTGAACTATGATAAATGCTGTATTATTCCGTGAATTAACATACCTGTCTATCTTATTTAAGGCCACAATGAATGGAGTTTTCTTGCTTTTGAGAAGATTTAAGGATTCAATAGTCTGAGGCTCCAATCCATGCATAATATCCACAACAAGAATTGCAATATCACAGAGAGAAGAACCTCTACTACGTAGGTTGCTGAACGACTCATGTCCAGGTGTATCAATAATAAGTAAACCTGGTATCCGAAGTTCTGCATCCGCAAACTGCACAATGCAATAAACAATTCTGCAAATTAACATAATGAGTTCCAGAGAGATGCATGCACGCGCACAGCAACATTCTCTGTCGATTTTTGACTTGTAAGCATGAGTACAGTTTTCAACCCTATAGAATAAAGCAGAGATTCACAGAATTACTGGGTTTTTGGACTTTTTCCATCATTCAGAATCCTAGGCAATAGAGGACACGACGTTTCGGAAACTGGAGTCTGCCTTTCTCACCTGAAGACAGAAAAACATCCAGTTTTTGAAACATCGCGTCCTCTATTATCTAGAATTCTGGATGATGGGAAAAGTCCAAAAACCCAGTAATTCTGTGTCATCCACCATTGTCAGAACCCTTTAGAAAGCAGAGATCATACAAAACTAAATGTACAGTAACATATCAATGTATAATATTACACAAAATTTAAGCTGCATGCAATGTATTAGTAAAATTTGTGATTTTTAGATTGTGACACATACTTCAAACTCCACTTCAATTACAATGTCCACAAATGTTTTGCAGTAGAACTGAATTTACGTTATAATTAACTTTTAATTTAATTTTCACAATTCTGGAATTAATAGTTATAAGGAGCTATTTGATGGGTGTTGAGGAAAATATTTGGACCGAAGAGAGATGAAGTGACAGGAGGTTGCAGAAAACTGCATAATGAGGAGCTTCATAACTTGTACTCTTCTCCAAGTATAATTAGAATGATCAAGTCAAGGAGGATGAGGTGGGCAGGACATGTAGCGCGAATGGGGGAGACGAGAAATGCGTATAGGATATTGGTGGAAAGCCGGAAGGAAAGAGACCACTGGGAAGACCAAGGTGTAGGTGGGTAGACAATATTAAAATGGATCTTAGAGAGATAGGAGATGAGGTTGGCAGGTCATGTAGCACAAATGGGGGAGACGAGGAATGCGTATAGGATATTGGTGGGAAAGCCAGGAGGAAAGAGACCACAGGGAAGACCAAGGCATAGGTGGGTAGACAATACTAGAATGGATCTTAGAGAGATAGGATGGGATGGTATCTACTGGATAGATTTGGCTCAGGATAGGTACCACTGGATGGCTCTTGTGAACACGGTGATGAACCTTTGGGTTCCAGAAAATGCTGGGAAATTCTTGAGTAGCTGCAGAATTGGTGGCTCCTCCAGAAGGGCTCAGCTCCATGAGTAAGTAAGTAAGTAAACAGAGATAGGATGGTATGTACTGGATAGATCTGGCTCAGGATAGGGACCAGTGGAGGGCTCTTGTGAATACGGTGATGAACCTTTGGGTTCCATAAAATGCTGGGAAATTCTTGAGGAGCTGCAGAATTGGCGGCTCCTCCAGAAGGGCTGAGCTCCATGAGTAAGTAAGCAAGTAAGGAGCTATTTGATGAAGGTAAAATGCTTTGTAAATTCAGTATTCTCAAAAATACAAGGAACCATTTCATTCAAATTTCACTTAGAAAGGCACCTAACAAACTAATATGCTTACATGGGAGAGTTAAAAAGTATGCAGTAACTATAATCCATCTCTGACAGCATTCTGCATTTCGTGTTTTGTACTGAGTACTTACTCCTTTAACAAATTTAGTTTGCTCCTTGATTGCACTAATTGGAACATTCGTTGCTCCTATCTGTTGTGTAATGCCTCCAGCCTCACCATCTTGAACATTCGTACGTCGCAACTTGTCTAAGATCTTTGTTTTACCTGACAAACACAGATGTACATGAGACATTACTACGAGGAATGTGCAGAATAAATATTCCATACATTAAATCTGATTTGACCCTTGATCCTTTGATTCTCACAGGCCTCCACAGTACCTCCCGACAGAAATACCAAGGTGATTCCTTGTACATTTTAAATACCAAAGCTTCAAGTCTTATGAAATGTGTTCACAGGAATATAAAAAAGAAAATGTTTTACTAAGATGAAAAAGTAAGAACTGGAGAGATGTAGCATCGAATAGAGAAGAATGGCAAGCAATCCTGAGGAAGGCCAGGGCTCACAAAGGGCTGTCGTGCCAGTGATGACGATGATGATGATGATGATGATGAAGACAAAAAAGTACTGTGAACTCTGAAGTGAACTGTTAGAATAAAACCTGCTTTGAACAAGAGAAAAAGGTAAAGTTGTCCCTGTGCTTAATTAATTAAGCACTATGCCATGAAGATTATGAGGAAGTGGATTTACAGATCCATGTTTTCTTGACCTCAACACAAGTTGGACATGAGTGGCCAGCTTCATGCCTTGGCCACTTCACCACCTGGGAGAAAGCCCCTGATACCCATGGGATAGGAGGCTCGGCAGGTCTCAGAATCAGTATGGACAATGTGGAGAAGAAAAATTTCTTGCCCTACTACAGCTCAAACTCTGGCCCTTCGGTTGTCCAGCCCATAGCCAGTCGCAATAGGATCCAACTAATAATGAAATGATTATATTCTGAAGACAACACTAAAAGCAAATTATGTAGGCCCTGCATAACTTTACAAAATCTTTCCTGTCCTATCGCACCTGAAGGATAACTTTCAGAACTTCTTCCTTCCTGAGCAGAACATCTCAGTCAATGAATTGCTTACATTATAGAAGGCTTGCTTGTCTTTCAAACACTTGCAAAACTAAATAAAAGTACAAGATTTAAAACCAAAATTACATTCTATACAGAATACAGTGTTCATTTTTCATGCCCTTCTTCGATTTGACACTTTTATATGAGGCTTGTCCACAAAGTAAGTTTCCCTGGGGCCGTTTACAGAAACAAAACATAATTTCATGGAAATATTTATTGCAACAGATACAGCCAGTGTTCAGCTATTTTTCAACATAATCGCCACCGGAATTGAGACATCTGTCATACCGTGGGACCAACTTTTGAATATCTGTGTCATAGCAGTATGCCGCCTGGGATTGGAACCACTGTGTGACAACCATCTCCGCCTCTCTGTCATTCTCAAAACGCTGACGCTCACTGGACAGGAATTTCTTGAGGTGCAGGAAAAGATGGAAATCACTGGGAGCGAGGTCCGGGCTGTAGGTTGGATGATTAAACACCTCCCAGCTGAACTCCTGCAGGAGACTTGCTGTCCGTCGAGCCATGCGCGGCCTAGTGTTATCGTGCAGGAAGATAATACCAGCACTAAGCATCCCGCGCCGCTTGTTCTGAATAGCCCATCACAATTTCTGCAGTGTTTCACAGTAATGCTCAGCATTCACTGTCTCACTGCTGGTCAGGAAGTCGACGTGGAGAATACCCAGAATACCGTGCACATCACTTTCCGCGCCGACATCTGCTTGAATTTCATCTTACAGGGAGATCCACTGTGATGCCAATGCACTGACTGCTGCTTAGTTTCTGGGGTAATGTGTGCAATCCACGTTTCATCACCTGTGATGATCCAGTCCAGAAACTCATCACAGTCATCATGGTACCGCTGCAGAAAGGTCAATGCTGACTCCATGCGCTTTGTTTTGTGTTCTGGTGTCAGTTGCTTCGGCACCCACCTGGGGCACAATTCCCTGAACAGGTGCTCTGTGACAATTTCGTGCAACAAGGTGCGGGAAATCTGCGGGACATGACTGCTGAGTTCTGTAATTGTGATGCGACAATTCTGCATAATGCGTTCCCGCACAAGCTCCACCAGGTCGTCTGTAATGTTGGATGGCCGCCCACTGTGCTTCTCATCACGCACACTTTGTCGACCTGCTGAAAATTGTCTGCACCAGCGACGCACCATCTGCTTGCTCGTGATGTTAGGTCCATAGACCCGGCACAGCTGATGATGAATTTCGATCAGCGCTATGCTCTGTGCATTCAAAAACTTTATCACTGACTGCACTTCATAGTCTGTGGGAGTTGGAATAAGAGCCTCCATCTTCAACAGCTGCAATGATGCTACTGTGGGAATGCGGGAAATTCCATTTGTGCACGCGCCATGCTACGTCATTGCTCTATCACGTACGCGCAGTCGCTTCGCGCAATATAAGGTTTGCTAACTGTGGTATGAGTGGGAAACTTACTTTGTGGACGTGCTACGTAAATAACTGCTTTCTGGGGATTAAAATACCAAAATATCAGTGCTGTATAGTCTAAATCTACATAATTTTTTTAATATGCAGTTAATTTCTTGCTTTAAAATTCGGATTTTTTTCTTAATTCTACAGCAGTTTCAGTTGAACTCGCATATTTTGGATGAAGATATTTAAATATCTTACATCCACACAGTAAGGTTGCTTTTAAATGCCCTACTTCAACAAAGTGTTAATCACATAACTTATGTAAAAATATATGGAATAAATGCATAAGTTATACAACTATGTGGTAATTATGAACAACTAATACTTTACATGAAGAAATGAAGATGAACTGACTCAGTGATTCTCACCTGTATCTACATGACCCAGAACACACACCACAGCAGCTCGCAATACATCAAGTGACCGGTTCTTTTCTGCTTCTTCACGTCGTGTCTGTAAACACACAGGCCAGTTAAATGGGAAAATAATTAAAGGTAAAAATTAATGCAAGATACAGTCTCCTGGTGTGTGACCCTCTGCAACTTGGTAGGTAGGCACTAACATATTGGAGGAATCTGTTAGCTGTGTCTTCTAGCCTGGAGATAGAGGCAGCAGGTTCCTTTAAACACTGAAATCGATTTAGAAGACTACACAACAATATACCCACAAAAGGTGTCAGTGATCCAAATATTCACACTGTGAGATTCTAAAATCTAAAAAATTAATGCAATGTATCTTATTTCATATGTATGAAAGAAAAAGACAAATATAAATATAATGTTACTGTAACAGTTATCTGTAGAATTTTGGTATGCAGATGTCCCAAGATTCTCAGAAGGGTATTCCTTTGGCAACTAAACGAGTACCAGAATAATTTTCTGAACATTGGTGTAAATTCTGTCATCTACTTGTGAAAATTTTGTACTTGTATCCATGAAAATTCTAGGCAGGAATTCTCTATACTGTCAATTAAACCTTGAAACAAGATATATTTTAGTGTCATCACATTTAAAGTGTTAAGTGAACAGCTGGATTCTGAATTTTGCCTTTCATTTTACATAGAAAGATGAGGTTGTGGTTTTATTATCATGTCTGTGTGTACAGCTGCTCCTCTAACAAACTTCAAATCAAAATACAGATTTCCATGGTACTTGGTATACACATTTCAAAGGATGCAGCCACAACTCTTGCAATTTTGTTAACTCTCAGCCATGAAGGTGAACAATAATTCGGTGCCCAATATCTGGTTTGGTAAGGGAGTTATATTACAATCAATTTTACAAGTTCTCAATGAAATATCACTAGATAAACACCACACCTGTATCCTAGCCAGTGCTCTCTCTCTTCGCCTTTCTGCATCTGTTTTGTGTTCATCTTCACTATCATTTTCGTCCTCACTGCTACTTTCATCAGATTCATCATCTGTTTCTGATTCATCACCCCCTTCTTCATCATCATCATCTTCATCTTCATCTTCTTCATCTTCCACATCCTCTTCCTCTTGTTTTGTTACTTCTAGCTTCACATTTACTTTGGATTTATCAGAATGATCTGGAAAACAAAAAACAATTTATTTAAATGCAGAAAAAGAAAGATTAAGAGATGAAACAAGTAAAAAACAAACTCTGTGGCCTGTAGTCCACAAGTGAACTATACCGACTGAATGACTGCCACTTGTCGGTGAAATTAGTGCTAACTTTTGCAGACAGAGGGTGTCACATGGTCAGTGCAACGGATCCCCACAGACGTTAATCTCAGTTTTCTAGACCAGAGCCGCTATTTCCTTGAAAGAGCTCCTCAATTATCCTCACGAGGCTGAGTGAACTCCGTTCCAGACCCACTGCTTCTCAGGAAAACTGGTAGCGCCGGGAATCGAACTCAGGACCTGTGGATCTGTAGCCTGGAGTTCTGACCACTAGACCATGGTCAATGAGACAAGTAAAAAACAATAATTCACATTTCTAACTACAAGTTCCTTAAACAATGATAACTAAATGCAATTTTCAAAGTAAAGGTTCACTTATCGCCTTTCATATCCTACATATTAAACAATTTAATTTGTTATTAATTATTTACATCACTTGTAATGCTCACTTACTTACTTACTCACAGAGCTGAGCCCTTCTGGAGGAGCCACCAATTCTGCAGCTACTCAGGAATTTCCCAGCATTTTATGGAAACCAAAGGTTCATTACCGTGTTCACAAGAGCCCTCCATTGGTGCCTATCCTGAACCACATCAATCCAATCCATACCATCCCATCCCTCTAAGATCAATTTTAATATTGTCCACCCACCTACACCTTGGTTTTCCCAGTGGTCTCTTTCCTTCTGGCTTCCCCACCAATATTCTATACACATTCCTCGTCTCCTCCATTTGTGCTACATGCCATGCTCACCTCATCCTCCTTGACTTGATCATTCTAATTAAACTTGGAGAAGAGTACAAGTTATGAAGCTCCTCAGTGTGCAGTTTTCTCCAACCTCTGGTCACTTCATCTCTCTTGGGTCCAAATATTCTCCTCAACACCCTGTTCTCAAACACCCTCAGACTATGTTCATCCCTTAATGTCAGAGGCCAAGTTTCACACCAATACAGAACCACAGGCAAAAGTATATTTTTGTATATTCTAATTTTTATGTCATACATTCAAATGAACATCACTTGTAATGCTACTGTATGAAAAATGTATCTTCCCTGTGTCTAACAGATCCAGTGTTTTGAAAAACATCAGGTTCCTTCGTGTATGGAGAGGAGATATCAGGGGAAAAAAAATCTAGTGCTGTTTACATACTTTCACCTGAAGACTGGTTCACCCAGATTAGAAATATGTTCCTCAGTAATGCACATTTGTGCAAGTACATGTTTCTACTACATGAAAGTTTCTAAATGTGGTCTCAAAGGCTCATACCTTTATCTTATAAAGTATCACTAAAATGAAGCTCTAGGTTTAATTGCAGAAAATTACGTACCTACATAGCAAACATCGCTGTAATTGGTATCTCTGAGTTGAGTAGTCTTGGGAGATTTACAGTGGATGGCAAAAGGACTGAAATGATGTGTGACTGGCTAGTATTAGAATGGAACACGCTGCACACCAAAATAATTATGAACAGCTTTTAAGAAACTGTGATTATGAAGCTCTTGGTGGAAGTGAGGGCATGTTGTGGATTGAAGACGAAAATGTGAATGCAAAACAGAGTCAGACAGCAGTTCCAAGGACAACATATGAAATGTTATGAAAATACTGTGTGCTTTTCTTAGTAATGGGTAATGCAATTTGCCACTGAAAGTTCATAACAACTGTTCCTTTCATAAATCATGCATCCCATTTTTCAACTGGAAAAATACATAAAATATGTGTGAGAATTATGCAGGTTAATACAGTAACACTACTTGCTGACACAACAAACCACAGTTTTTCCAGGTGTAGCAGTATTTCCATTATGTAATGCTGGTGTTCACTGGTCCACACATACATATCCTGTTTGCACACTTAGCCACTCAAATGAAAATGGGCATCACAACTAAACCACATATTTTGGGGTACTGACTGACTGTACTCCAAAGACATCTTGAAGTCATAACAGAAGTCAACTTTCCTGGTTTCATTAGCCACATGAAGGTCCTGCTGCATTTGAACTGTGTATGGAAACAGTTTCGCATCTCTTTGAGTTATCCTGTACGCTAACGATGCTCCCAAGTTGAGTTGTCACGGTATTATCAGTGCAGTTAAGTCTTACCTTCTTCCTCATCTTCACCAGAGGACTCAGCATCCCATGTATCTTTCACGTCTTCCTCCTGATCCCAACTGTCTTTCACTTCATCTACTTCTTCCTTTTCTGATGCCGGAGAATCAACAATTTGAACCTCCACTTTCTGCTCTTCAGGTTTTTGCGCTGTTAAAACATACCACAGATATCAGACATAAAGCGAAAACAGTACCAAATATCAAAATTAATGAGACATTTACGTGACAACTGCTACTTTAGAAATGAAGAATTTACACTGGATATTCACAGAAGGGTACTATCTTCCGAGATGTGATGCCATAGAGTCCTGCAGGACTGGACTACACAATGTCCGATCCCAAGAGATAGCTTTCTTCATAGGCACAGCTCTAGGAACTTAAACATTTCACACAATATATGCAAAGCAGCAAATTCTTAAGAAACGACAAAAACTAAAAAATAAAAATAAAAAGTATATTCATATAATTAATTAAAGAATAAAAAGAGATTAAGAACAGAATTTATGTCCTGTAATGGGCTTTATTGGTACTGTGATGTTACATCTGTTGAAAGCCAGCCAGGTCATAAGTTACCGTCATGGGTTAGATATGCGAGGACTGTCAGCCAACGAGGGATGAAGCTGCTGAGCAACAGAAGCAGAGGGTGGTGTTGGGAGCCATTACCAAGCTACAAATGGTGAAGATGCAGCTGACTGAGAAGACTTAGTGCATACCACAGCAAATTACAAAGTGTGTAAATTAGTCAACCAGTTACAATTAATTTTAGTTACAGTTTGTAACAGTCCAATAAATCCAAATTCCAATCCAAACCCCGTCTATAGTCACTGCATATGTGATAGTAAAATGTAGATAAAGAAACTAAAAATTTAAAGACATAACTAAACCATTTACTAGTAATCAAAAATTCAAGACTGGGAATAACAATCTGAATTGCATTCAAAAACTCTACTGCAATCTAGTGCATTGCTTTAACAATATTTTAATTTCACAGAGAGGATGAATACTTCAGTTACTGGACTAAATAACTGTGGGCTGATAAGTGCTCTTCAATTTCTGGCAGAGGCAACCGCTTCCCTATTCATCACTGCATTCAGACCAACAGAGGCCTATCCAGCCTCTCATCCAATGAACATTAAGAGCCCATTCCTCATAGGTAAAGAAGTTGGAGCATGAAGATGATCATTAAGAAGCATGAAATGTTAAGATAATGTGTGAACCCCTATCTCCGCTACCCCATTCACCTTAATTGCTTGGTATTTAGCACAGGGCACCTTCACCCTTTTTTTATGTTCTGCTTCAATAGGTGCAGTACAACTAACCTGCTCTTAACCCACAACCTATGAACTTCACAGATTCTTTAGTGGTAACCCTATAATAAAATAAGACTTACGCTGTTCAGTACTGGTCTGCTGCTTTGCTTTAATTCGTACTCTTGTGCCTGGTCTAGGAGCTTTCTTTTCTCCTGCATTAGGCATCTCGAGTCCCTGAGCTTTAAGAGCTTCTAACATTCCTTGAGCACGGGCACGGTCAGCCTTCTGCTTTGCAGTCAGGAGTTTCCCTTCAGCTTTCAATCTTTCTTTTCTTTCTTTTTCTTTCAGTTTCTTCTTTTCTTTTCGTTCTATCTCCAACAGACGCTGAAAGTCAAAATACCCATAGTAGAACAATATTTTAAAAAAGATACAGGAGAACAGTGTCTATATTATTGGGTACTCATATTTCTTATTTTCAATGGTACAGTCCTACTTTACAGCTGTGTTGCATCTGTCCAGTCAGTTTGACCCCCAGGACCTCATTTTATCTTGTTTTCATATAAACTGACAGTTCTGTTAATGTCGTCAATTACCTTTCTTTAAAAGAACCGTCTGTTTTTGATTCATTAGCATATATGTTAAATAGTACAAGGGTCATCATTATTGTTAGCTTTACATCAAGAGTGACTATCATAGGCATGTCTACTCTGTTTCCTTACCAATTAATGTATGGGATACTCTGAGTAACTGAAGTGCTTATTGTGGAGTGAAAACAACAAAGAGTTTGGTGCTTGGAAATGTTTATTAAGATAGGAAAAAAAATGAATAGCGTTCACGAAGTCCTGCACCACAGTCAAGAGAGTTTGGACTGTTTTTTTTCTATAACAGCAAAATTAAAGTGGACTGGTAAAACCTTCTGCAGACAATACAAAAAACATGTGACATTATACACCACACGATACAACTCTTCATAATCACAGCTGTGAAAACCTCAAATCTTACATCCTTTACACAGTGCTTCCAGAAGTGGAAGAGTTGACCGAAGTGACGTACTTCTCTGCAATGATATTGTTTTGAAGGAGATAAGTGTGACTAAGTTTTAAGTCCTGAAATAAAGTTATTACTGAAGAACTCCAGGAACTTTCTGAACAAATCTCATATTATTAATATGAACACAAAGTCACATGATAAGCACCATCAATTACTTTTAACTTGTTGGTAACAGAAACTGGAGGTTCAACATTATCACTAAGGCCAAAAACTGTTTTACATGCTTACAATGTACATGTATTATTATATATTCATGATACAGTACCTGTTCTTCTCGAGCTCTCTCTGCCTCCTCCTCCTTCTTAATTCTTTCCATCCGTTCACGGTCTAATCTCTCTTCCTCCTCACGCAGTCTCTTAAGTGCTTCTTGCATGGCTGCAATTGTCTTCTTTCCTGGACCCCTTCCTTTATCTTCATCCTCCCCCTTTTTTTTCTTTTTCTTCTTTTTCTTATCATCATCGTCATCAGCTAAACACAAGACAGCACAAAGTTGTTCATTATTTAAAAACCAACTGTAATACTACCTATTACAAGCAATTCTTAATATGCAGGAATTAAAATGATCTTTGACTGCTGCATTTATGCTCAATCAAGTATTAAAGATTTCACAAGGGTGCTCAGTTACTTCCCGTCTTCTTAATAACCAAAACACAGGAAGAATTCCCTAAACAAGACCTAAAAAAATGCTTCCAATTTTCCAGTGACATTAAACATTACTTACAAAGCAGTGGATGGAACTGTCATTACAATATGTTACAGAACACCTACCAAAATTTGTGACTTACAAAGTAACTTCAATTTTGTGCATGTTCTTGAAAATGATTAACACATTTTGGAAACTGTATTGCTACATAGACTTGTGCTCAAAACTATCCTGCCTCCCAACTAAAAATCATGCAAAGAATTTTATTATGGAATTTGTTTAGACTTCTTATCTTTTTTAATGCAGGTTATTTAACAATGAATGAACTGTCTTTGCTCACTCAAACACTGGGGTCGTGGGTTTGAATCCCACTTGAGGTAAGGATGTCTATGTGCATTTATTGTGTTTGTGTTTTTCTGTGTGTAGATAGCGGCCTTCAGACAGGCTGATCCTTCATCCAAGGAGTCTTACTAACTATGTATAGGATTAAGAAACTGAAAAACTGCCAAGGTCCAAAGGGCTGTAGAACCACTGATAAGGAAAGAAAGAAAAAATCAGATGATGATGTCAGTATCAAGACTATAATCCTTTGGTTTAGGCTTCCTTGTGACTCATACAAATGATAGTATCTCAAAGCTAATAAAACCCTGAAAGAGTGTAGATGACCTGATCATGTGACTGCTATGTAATCCTTTCAAACTACTGACATTCCGTAGGTCTTTTCATGATATCCTCATAGTTCAGAATATATAGCATCAGAAGATACGATGATGAACTGGAAAGGATGTGGAAAGAAGTTTTGTGGTTTAGTTTGGCTACTATTGTGGTCATCTGCACAGAGGACCAAGGGTAATCAATCAAAATGCAGCTGAAGTCCACAGGTTGAGATATCAGCCCAGGACCTCCAAAATACAAAAGAGTGCCCCCCACTTAACCATGACACTTGATGCTAGGGATGATGTTCATAAATACTCAATGTAGGAAAGCAAACAGAAGTTTGTGCTGGACAATGGACATACACTCAATTCTCGATTATCCGGGGGTGGATAAACCGGTCTGCGGCTTAACCGGGGCATTTTTGAGGCTTATATGTTGTTTAATATTCATTCACTTTTGTTTCACACGGTGAGTTGTAACACTGTTTTCGCACTAGTGTGAACCGAGCTCTGCATTTTTTGGTCCCGTTATGCTAACACAATGTTGTAGGGTAGGGGTGAAAGAATGCAAGGATTTGTGGAAAGTTACAAGGACAGACAGACCACCCAAGTTAGTCTCTTCGTATCGATCTTCAAGTGCATTAGCAAAATGACAGGGTGTAAAAGGAAGCGTGTTGTGATAAGTATTGAACAGAAACTCGTGTGAACCGGGCTTCAAAATGTTAAGGAGTGGGGGTGCAGTCAGAAGAGTGGGAAGAAAGTGAGAATGAGGAAGAGGTGGACAGTGCTGCTCTTAATCATTTGGAATCCTTACTAGACTATCTTGAGAGTGAAGAGAACAGTTTATTAAGTGACAAGCTAATATTACGTAGGCCTCGTATGGATATCCATAAAAAGGAAAATGTCGCGAGAAAGCATAGGACAATATTACATTTTTTTAAGTGTTAAGTGTGAAAATTCATAAAAAGTGTTGGATGTTGTTGAACACTGACTAAATAACTAATTCATACTTCTGTGTAATGTAAAAAAAGTATTACATAGGTCATGAGATGATATAAAAGAAGAGGTTGAATAAATTTAAATACAGGTAGGCCTATAGTATTATGAAGGTACAGTATTACAGTACTACTTTTAATAAAATTTGTCTTAACCGGGTTTTTGATTAATCGTGATTTCCGTCCCCACCATTATCCCGGATAATCGAGAGTTGAGTGTAATTCCTTTGCCACAGCTGCTATAGCCTGCTTAGAAATCAAGTGATATTTTGACATGATACCGCAATGCTTGGTGAGGTGACACACACACATGCTGTTGCATATGCGAGGATTTGCAAAGGATATCAAGCCTTACCACCATTTCCACATTCAGGAACTGCTGACATATCATGTTCTTTATCTTCAATCACTTTCAAGGCAGCATTTGTTTCAGACTCTACTGAAAGCAGACTTCTGGTCTCTGCTTTTTTTGTTTCACTTCCCTCTACTTTCTTCACAGCCTCCTAAAAGAACAGAAATAATACAGAATAATTACTTGTTAAGTCTTCAATTGCTCAGCTATGGAGCTCAAAACAATGGAGATTCTCCTGCTCTTGGGCTTATATTCTTGCTGGCTAGCTACCACCTCACAGCTTGCACCTAACTCATGACTCAAACTGTCGGATCTCAAGTAACTCTGTCGGTAAAATGGTTGCCAGCCCACGTCAGCAGTCATTCTTGGCTTCAGGTCTCAACAAGATCTATGACCAAGATTTTGGTTCTGTGCTAGACATGTATGTGTTTTAGAAGTGGGGCCTCCTCTTTGATGAGGGGAGGGGCAGATCTTCCTGTGCATGCCACAGGTTCCGAAAGTGTGGGGCGTGCACCCCTGAGGCAAGTGGTTTTCTGGGGGCGGGGAGACCAGTTATAACCACCAGTTTACCTTATGATGATACATAACCACAGAAGTTGATAAAGCACTGTAAAATAAACCAAGAATCGTGTTTTCATTTAGAAGTACAATATCAGTGTTCGAACATGTACATTTCAAATGATTTTCCAAAGTTATGGTGTACAGAAAATCACAGTTTTCTCTGTTTTACAATCACATTGCCCTCATCTTATACTTTCCTTGATTTTACTTTTAGGTGGTCCCTTAATGAGCATAAAACTGAGATTTCACTTATTTCCTTCTGCCAATCGTAAACCACAGACTTCTAATTTTGTTTGAACTGATTACCACCAAGATACAAAGATGACAAAGAATAATGCAACACTCTCACTGTCTTCATTATTATATGAACTGAGAAACTGAAAATTTCCCATACTCATAGAATCTCTTGTACTAGCAGCCAACCAGTTATTACAAACTATTCTTTACAACCAAAAATCCTGCCCCGTATTTGCTGTGCACTACAATTCATGATGATAATAAAAATGAACAGGCTACCTTGCACAAATGTCGTACTCTACATTATGGGCCAGTTCTAGACACTGACACTTCTTATCTACTAATTCTTTATCTTGAATTGAAACACTACAGCCAATGGGAGTTCTCAACAATTGGACTACTTCCCTGCACTCTATTGGTATACTTAAGCTACCACTGTAACAGGCCATGGAGACCCAAAGGGTTGTTTACATTAAGGAAACGGTCATTCTGCTTGTCAAGAAAAACCAGCATAAAATCACTCATTCCATCAAGAAGACCTTAAGTACATATATATACGAGACAATTAGGAGTTTACTATTAACCACAAATTCAAAACCTCATGGCAATATTTATAGCAAGTACCAAAAAAAAAAAAAAAAAAGGATAAGTTGTAATTACCTGTTTCTTTTGTGTCAGTCTCTTCTGCTTTTCCTTTTCCTTCTTTTCCTTCTTCTTTTGTGCAGCAGTCTTCACTGTTCCTTCAATCTCTTCACCACCAACAATTTCTTTAGGTTTTTCCTGACTCTCCTCTGCCAATGATTCACTCTTTTCTGTATCCCCCTTCTTTTTCTTTTTCTTATCTTTTTTCCTACTTTCCTCAGAGATGTCCCCATCATTTTGCAGCTCTTCCTGTACCACACTCTTCTTAATACCGGAATATTCCATCTCCAATTCAGCTAACACCTTTTCAATGTCCTCTTCATCATCATCATTCTGCTGTTTTTTCCTTTGTTTCTTTCCCTTCTTTCCACCTTTCTCCTCCCTCTTATTAATATTATCATCTAAATCTACTGACTGGGCTACTTTAGTGTTTCTTTTCTTGTTAACATTTCTTGTGTTCTCTTCTCGTTCTGAATCTCTACTCCTGTCCTCCATTGTTGAATCTGAATCTCCACTTTCCACTTCAAGAAGAGCAAAGCCCCCTTTCACCTTACCAGACAAATGTGATTTTGCACCCTTAATTGGCTGAGATCTGTCTTCTTCCACATCACTATCACTCTCAACAGCAAGTGCATTAAATCCTGTTTTCTTCTTGTTCGGTGGCTTGCAAGTATTGCTTAGGTCTTCATCACTTGATTCTGCAGTAAATTTCTGTGTTGCTATCTAAAACAGAGGCAAGAACATGAATACAGCTCAACTCTGAATTCAAATGCATAGAAATGCACATGTTTAGCTTCAAACAACAAATAGGGTAAGTGAGCTAGAAGTTTGCAAAGGCTGGTTTCAGTTTCTTTCTAAACATAAACTCAAAGATATTAACCATCAATTTGGCCGCGCCATAGCTCAAGTGGTTAGTCGCTGGGTTCCCGCAGTGGTGGCCTGGGTTCGATCCCGGGTCTGGTCAAGTGGGATTTGTGGTGGACAAAGTGGCGCTGGGGAGGGTTTTTCTCCGAGTACTTCGGTTTCCCTTGCCAATCTTCATTCCACCAAATTCTCCATCATCATAATCACCCTGGGTAGGTACCATAGGCCAATCAGTGGCCGCCGTGCCGAGTGGACCCAGCTGGACTCAACCCCCACTAGCGAATAAAAAAAAAAATCATCATCAATTTGGTAGCTTTAAGAAAAAGTATCTGAAACCTGTATACATAAAATTTAAGTGTCTAATTACAATTGTTCACCTGGTTTCACCAACAAACTGAGAATCACTGATACTTACATCACTAGGCAACATACCTACCACACCACACACTCACTGTTCAGTAATTTAGATGGTTTACTATATATATATATGTTAGTTTATAAAAGGTAAAGCTATCCCTGCTCAGGCTGTGAAGGACCACAGGGTCCACATTTTCTCTAGACAATCGACTCACACATGGCAGTAAGGCTGTCAGCCTTACACACAATATGCCCTTTATGTATTACAATAGACAATCTATATATTTCAGCCTATATATATATATAAAACTATTATCATATTTTTTGTTTGTTTTATTTTCGGTTAAACACTTTTTTGTATGATGTTAGTTTTATATGCTATTCTGATGTTGGTATCTTTTTTGCTTTGGTGTCCAAAATATGTGAATTTGGCCCATTTGTTTTGTCTTTGGTCATTTTCTTTATTGCTACTTCAGCTTGTTGTGTTACCTTGCTTAATTTTTGTTTTAGGGATTCGTTTATTTGGTACTGATGTTGCAATATGTATTTTATTGTATTCTCTTCAGTGTTCCTGTTGTTCTCTTCCACAGTGTATATGCTGACTTGGATGCAGATGACTGACATTTTATGTTGCATAGGGCAGCACAGGGAGCATGTGGTAGCGTAGAAGATTGAGTCACTATGCTACAAGCTGGAAGGTCGCGGTATCTAATCCTGATGAGGTCATTGGATTTTTTCAATTGACCTAATCCTTCCAGCTGCACTGTGGCCCTGGGGTTGACTCAGCCTCTAACAGAAATGAGTACCAGGGATCTTCCTGGGGGGTAAAGGGCGGCCGGTGCATAAGGCTGACAACCTTACTGCCATCTGTGAGCCGATTATCTAGAAGATATTGGAGCCTCAACCTCTCACAACCCCATGGGCCTTCACGGCCTGTTACAGGGATAGCTTTGCCTTTCTTTTCTATAGGGCAGCACGATGTGTTGTGTAGTATTGTATCTACTGCTGCTGACTTCCGGTATATGCTATATGATAGGTTATTCTCCATTCTTCTACAGTACACATATCAATACATACTAATGAATGCTTCATATTTCAGATCAACCTACCAGAGAAAACAAAAACCTAAAAACATGCACAGCAATATCCACATATAAAGTGCAACACATACTCTAAAAACCAACATAAGGTAAGTAAACATACATACAGGGGTTGAACAAAATAATGGAAACACTACAGATATTGTAAACATTTCTTTATTAATATGGTGTTGGACCGTCTTTTGTCTTCAGTACAGCCATAGAGCATAGTACATCGAGAAGAATGGTTTCAAAATATCACACAACCACTGCAGCACAGGTGACAACAGAAGTGAATATTCATCTTGAAGACACTCTTCCCACAAAAACTGTCTGATGTGAGCTTCACAAATAAAACATCCACAGAAGAGCTGCAAATGCTAAACCTCTGATTACTGAAAGTGATGCTCAGATGCGTAAATGATGGTGTCATGACCATAAACCTGGACATCAGACGACTGGAAATGCACGCATGATATGGTCAGATGGGTCATCCTTCATGCTGTTCCCTATATTAGGAAGAGTTTACATTTGAAGAACATGCAAGGAAGCCTGGAATCCGGAATGCCTGGTTCCAACAGTGCAATGTGGGGGGAGATTCTCTGATGGTTTGGGCAGCAATATCAAGGTACAGCATTCTATTGGTCCCACTACTAGCCTTCATGGCTTGATTCTTGTCAATTATGACAACCTGAACAGATATGAATATCTTTTTTAAAACTGTAAACATTTGGTATACCAGGCTTCAATTTTAATCCTCTGATTAGTGACCTCATTCTTCCTGGGTCCTCTGATCACAAATACTTTGGAAAAGACCAGCTTTAGGGCTTAGCCAGCATTCTATCCACTGTGTATCAGGGGCTCTTTCCCCAGGGGTAAAGTAGCTGGGGTGCTGAAGCTGACCACTCACCTCCATCTAGTGCCAAGGTAAAGAATGGTGGAACTATACCTTCTCCTCCTCCATACATCTTCATGGTATGGTGCTTAATTAATTAACCCTTCAGCGCGGGCATTTAACACTTTGCGGACCGGTGATTTAAATATTTAAATCACCCTGGGGACTGGCATTTTTAAACATACTACCCTAACTTGTGCACTGTTCACTTTAAAAATTAATATAAAATCTCCTAATAAATTTTTTGAACTATAATTTTTGGAGAACACTTACCAATGCTCCTAGAAATGCTTGAGGGTGTGATATTTCTGGAAACTTTCCACTTCGTGAAGTGGCATTACACAGAACTTGCAAATGTAGACATACTCCTTTTTTTGTGAACTGTGCAAACACGGCATTGCCTAGAAGTATTCTTCCCCTAGGAATGTTCACTCTTCACAATTTTCACGAGGGTATTTTTCCACATATCACTCAAGAGTCGCCCTGGGGGGTCCACATGCGGCCTTCGTGGGGTGGGAGTTGATGGGCCTGGTCGTACTAAGTCTTTGTGTGACCCTGGTTCTGCCACCACCATCTGGACTGTAGCCCAGGCCTTTGCCACATTCATCAGAAATGCTTTGTATTTCAATTTTGAATCAGGGTTTAGATTTTTTTTTACATTTTTCTGTCCTAGCAATGTTATTACCCGCATTATCGTCGGAGCTACTGTCACTTTTACTGTCTGTGGCCACAATTCTTTGTTGTTCCCCATCACTGTCGATGTATGAATGACAATTAATCCATTACTACGTGTCTCACAAGGCAGGTCAGCTAGGTCATCGGAGGAGAATTTGTCCTTGATCCATTCTCCCCACTAGATACTGGCTGATACACACAGCTTGAAGAAGGCAAAGCATTTTCCTTTATAGTCGGTTAAGTAAACAGCGAGGTCACGTTACTGACTGCTAACTAAACATTCCAGAGTCTTATCACGCATCTGCAGGCGGTTGCATGCAATGTAGGTGGCGCCAGAGCGATGTATAATGTGTTGCAACTTATTGTGTTCTAAAAACCTGTTAACACGCAAACAGTCTGCCATGTTTAAAAGCGAAAAACCTTTTAAAGGGTGCACGGTCCACAAAGTGTTAAATATTGCTGTTGTGGGGCCTCCTGCAGTAGTATTTTTTAATTGCCGACTTAAATTTTTCTATAAATTATATTATGTATCATAACTTTTGAACTATATGAGGTATAATTATGAATTTTTCACTAAAATCATCTTAAAAGATGGTTTTATAATCTTACCTTATAATATGAGCGCCCTGTATCTGAGCGATGGAAGCAAGTGGATTAGAAATTGAGTTTCGTATTGCATTTCTTGAAACATCCATCTAAACACAACCCTGCCTCACATTCACTACACCAAAAATAAATTCTTTCCTTTTACCATGTTTTGCGCACACAACACATCTTTTTTGAGGCTTTGCTTTTTCCCTTTGGCTGGAATACGCTCCAGGAAATGTCGTTCTGTGAGTCTTTTAGGTGGCGGCTCAACTGACGGATGGCCATATACAGGATGAGGAAAACCAGAACCATATTTTTCCACGAGGCCTTGTGCTAGTGAAAGTCTGAACTTTAGTGTGTCCATGTTTTTGTTATTCGGGAGACACCGATATATGACCATTGCGTTATGTATTGCTACATTGAGTAGCCTCTTGAATAACTTCTGATACCACTTAGTACTCTTCTTTCATTCAAGCAAGTACGGCTGTAGCATTTGATCCGTCAGATCCACTCCTAGCATGTTTCTGTTGTAATCACAAACAACCAAGGGCTTTGTTTCTTGTTTGTTTGCTTTATTCACAACCACACGCATATCACCTTTGTGGTATGTTGATATCACAGTCACTCGGCCATCGTAACTGTGAGGTCAGCGTTCTATTTAGACTGACTGGCAGAGCTGCAGGAAATTGAATGTTATGTTTACACGAACAGAGAGCGTATTCTTTTCACAACAGCCCAGTGCAATCGTCATCATGCTGGTGTGGTTCGTTCCATATTTATGGGCCTTCAAAATTAAGCTTACAGCTTGGCGTACGGTGTACGGCAAACTGCAGGTAGGACCACTTAAATACCAGCGTACTGTGTACGGCAACCACGCTGAAGGGTTAATATCCTTCATTCATGACACTTAAAAGGCATTCACAGGATATTAATACCGAAACATTTCAAGCTGAACATCCTCATCAACAAACTAGACACTCATGAATCAACGTTACACTGTTAAACGAAACAGAACTAAATATATTAAATGGAGGGCTTCAAAGGTCAAAAGATAATCACTAGGATCTGCATACACACACACCTCACCTTATTTTGCTGCTTATCTTTTCTCTCTTGTTCTACTGTCACATTGTTGATGTCTTTGGCTAAGTCTTCAGTATTATCAAGATCTTTTCTCTTTTTCTTCTCCTTCTTTCCTCTTTTCTTCATTATTGATGCTTCATCTTCAACTTCTTCTATTATGTCTCCTTTAGAACTGCTATCATCTTTATTTCTGCAAATACAAAGTCAGCCATGGCAATAACATAAAATCTTTTCAAAAATGCAAATAAAAACTGAAATACATTATTCTGTTCATACGGAAAGATGCACATGTCAAAGCTGACTTAACAAAACATTTAAATAGTCAAAACATATTAGCTTTGACAAAGTCTGCTTTCTATAAGCAAGCTTTGCCGAAAACATTTCATGTAGACAAGAGCAGCATAATCTTATTCTATCAAGTTTAGTCTATTAATATACAACTATAAGTACACTATTTATAAATAGTTCAACATATAGCTAATCTATTTCAAAATAAACACAAATCAAAAAATGCTATAATCTAGTTCAAACCTTGGCCTTTCCTATAGATTCCTCAAAGCAGCTTCTTCAAAAACTGAACAAACAACTCATGCTCCACTCCACATAGGATGAAACTTTTATAAATAATACAAATGGAATACTACTGTTTTAACTTAAGCTTTGAAGCATACTGTATGAAACACTTTTAATGAATGGGCCAAAATCATATGCAATGATAATGGCTTGGGGATATAGATGGTCCACATTAAGGCCTATTCCTCCTTGATACTGGAAAGTTTACTGTAAAGAAAGATATGGTTATGGAATTCTTTCTGTGGTTTCAAACATCACACTTTCTTGTATATATATATATATATGCAAGATCACTAACACAGGAGAGACAAAGCTCAAACAGCAACTAGGGTAGCATAAAAAACTGTGTATATGGATACATAAACAATTTTAATATTGCATAATTTTATGTATAGTGATGTAAGACTTGTTTTTTTTATATAAATTTAACACATGTTTGTTTTTTTATCTATTTTAATGATTATAAACTGTACATATATATTTATATTTGTATTGTACTATATTAATTATGTGACTGGTTCTAATCTATGTATATGGATTTATGGAATATACAATAAATGAATGAATGAATGAATAAGTCTTCTCTAGATGAAATAGCTTAACCCTACAATAAAAAGGGCTGCAAAATACATAAAACACATCAACTGCACTTTCAAGACTGCTACAGAGTTCCTTTGCAGTCCCTACTGTAGCCAGCAAAATGAATTTCACCATTTAGTACTTGTATTTTTGCAAGAAATTATAAAATCCTAACAGCACATTTATCAGTACCATTTTGCACTCAAAACATACAATTCTTCACTAATAGTGAAACAACAGATATTAATTTCATTCTGCATGCAAACTTCATAAAACCAAATTCATTAACATACAAGATTCATTTGTTTCAGTAAAGGTTTTTGAGTTACAAGAAAACAGAATAACCATAGCCAACTCAATGCATAATTACAGCCAATAAAAGAAATGACTACTGCACATAACAGCTACCCAGGTCATGTTGCAACAGTTCACTGACATTCATTGACGATGATGATGATACTTCACAACTCTAGCAGAAGGCATGAAAATAATGTAGATACTGTGTACAATTCTGATTCAAGTAATTAATGTGAATTAAGTTTGCCATTACTACAGTGAAATCTTAAAATCCACATGAAGACTGTTTACTAACAACACAATCTTGCAATATTTGTGCCACTGCATAAATATTAATGGTCCCGTTGCAATTTCTTATTTCACTTTGTCAAATACTTACTTTGACTTCAATTTTTTGTCTTTCCCCTTGCTTGGAAGGCTCTCATCAACACCAGACTGAACACCCACACTAATTTCATCCTCTCTGAAAGAAGATTTAACCAAGAACATACTATGAAGTTCATCTGGAAATCTAAATTCTTAATGCTATATTTATTCGAGTATATAAATATCACTTTTAACCATCACGTATAACAAGATCATGCGAACACATATCCAGATTGTATGTTTAGCTACTTACACGTCGTCCTCTTTGTTGCCCTTTCGTCCTTTTTTTGCTTTTCCCATTATGAATATTTACATGTGGTAATAACGTTGACCTGATTATAATTATATAATACTAATTTCCGATGAAAATATATCGGCTTTGCAACACAATCCCTTGTAACTTCACGAACATTACACATGGCATTGATCATGTGTCAAGAAAGATTCGTCTTTCACATCTACCGTGCAACATGCTCTTCCAAACAGCTGTGTGCGACTCAATTTTAATGCCTGGCGACCGCTGGCGACGTTGGCTTCGTTCCATCACAACCGGTAACAACTTCATTGTACTGCCATCTGCTTTCAGCGTTCAGACTACCTACATTTAGGCCACAGCCACTACTGCTCAATCAGTGAAATGACTAGGTACTATACATTAACATACAGGCAGTACGGCCAATAGGCCTCCCGAATCCAAGATTCATAGAACAATGAATAACTTTGCCACATGCAGCAGTTTTTATTCTTAGAAATGCGTCTAAGTAATATCACTTCACTCATCTATCAGGAGAATTTGCTTCGCTTAATGGGGGGTGGGGTCCAACTGTGTCCACTCGGCACGGCGGCCACTGATTGGACTATTGTAGCCTGCCCAGGGTGATCATGACGATGGAGAATTTGGTGGAATGAAGATTGGCAGGGGAAACCTAAGTACTCGGAAAAAACCTGCCCCAGCGCCACTTTGTCCACCACAAATCTAACTTGACCAGACCCGGGCTCGAACCCAGGCCGCCGCGGTGGGAAGCCAGCGACTAGCCGCTTGAGCTATGGCGCGGCTCCTGATCACTGCGCATTTCATTCACAGCAATCTGAAACACCCCTACTGAAATGAACTAGCACTGCGGACCATACTATATATATAGAAGACATGTCCACATATTCATTAGCGCTTAAACGAAATTGAAGTTGGGTAAACTTGAATGAAAAGTTTGTTTTCATTAGGGATATCTGTACTAAACAATATAATCTTGTTCACATCTCAGATCTGAACGCGACATATGGCATGTTTTTTTTCAGTTACATTTAACTCCTATAAATTATGTACTGCAGACAATAATACTGAGGTTTCCATGTGTTATTAATTGCAATAATATAATAAAACTGATGAATCTAAAATGAACTCTTCTTAACCAGATATATACAAAATTTATTAATATATAAAAAACAATAAAATAATTTCAGAATTATGATGAATCTTATGAATATGACGTATACTCATTTTTACAAGTTTAATATTGAATGGAATAATATAACTGAAACTTAAATAACTAACTCCATGGAGCTGAGTCACTCTTGAGAAGCTAACAGTTATTCATTTACACACAAGACTCCCAGCATTTTATGGAATCCAGAGGTTCATTAATGTGTTAAAGAAGAAACGTGGACTGAGGGTACTTCAGAATAGGAAGGTGAGGAGAATGTTTGGACCAAATGAGGAGCTTCATAACTTGTACTCTTTGCAAAATAGAATTATAATGACCAAGTAATGGAGGATGAGATGGATAGGGCAAGTGGAATATTTGTAAGATTTCTGTGGGAAAGCCAGGACAGGGACCACGGGAGTGACCATGATGTAGGTGGGAGATTAATATTAAAATGGATCTTATGGAGATGGGCTGACATGGAATGTATTCATCTGACACAGGATTGTGACCAGCAGCGGGCTCTTCTGAACACAGTAATGAACCTTTGGGTTCCATAAAATTCTGGAAAATTCTTGAGTAGCTGATGGACTGGTGGCCACGCAAACAGCACTCAGCTCCAGGGAGGTAGTGAGTGAGATTGATAGAACAAGCCAAACATGAAACTAGCACGAAGCAGGCAGCAAGCACAGCCGTGTACAGACTGCACGATGTTTTGTTCCATGAGACAGAACTCTTTATTAGTAACATCTGTTCATCAATTGCAACAGCTCCCTCTAATTTCACCGTTATGTTGAGCTCATTTGTGCTTCTGCTCAGCCATTACACTTTAATGGCAATAATAGATTAGAAACCATCCTAAATGTACTGCATGGTTCAAAAGTTGAATTTATAATTTGTGGTGATATAAATATAAACTATCTCATCGACAGTAATAGGAAACTAAATTTAGACTCTTTGTTATCATCTTACAATCTCTCCAGTACTGTTAACTTTCCCACAAGAGTTCAAAATAATTCTAGTTCAGCGATAGATAATATATTCATTGATAACTCAAAATTAAGAGATTATACTGTAGGACCCTTTATAAATGGCTTATCCGATCATGATGCTCAACTCATAGAAATAAATAATATTGACTTTCAGCCCAGTAATCAACAATATAAAACAGTAAGGAAAATCAACAAGCATACGATGGCAGATTTTGTCACAAAATTAAGTAATGAATCATGGGACAATGTATTTGACAGCAATAATATTGATTCTAAATTTAATTGCTTTCTGAACACATACTTGAGGATCTTTTATTCAAGCTTTCCCTTAAAAATAGTCAAAAATGAAAATAAAAACAAATCCACCTGGATAACAATTGGAATAAAAACTTCATGTAAACACAAAAGACAACTATATTTGGCCAGTAGGGACAGTAATGATCCAAGACTAAAAAGTCACTACAAAATATACTGTAAAATTTTGTCAAAAGTCATTAAAGAAGCCAAACAGAATAACTATAACAGCCAAATTCTAAAATCAAACAATAAAATTAAAACCACCTGGGATATTGTGAAAGTTGAATCAGGAAAGAAATCTGTTAATGAAGACGTACAAAGTTTGAATATTGAAGGGAAGTCCACTAACAATCCACAAGCTATCGCAAGTGCATTTAATGAATATTTCCTTTCATTAGCTGAGAAAACATATTCCAATAATAATAATAATAATAATAATAATAATAATAATAATAATAATAATAATAATCCAATATACTATCTGTCTCGTGCCTTTAACAATTCATTTCCAAATATCAATCTCAAATTCTCAACAAGGAAGGAAATTGAAAACATTATTAAATCCCTTAAGCCCAAAAATTCACATGGATATGATGAAATCTCTACCAAATTACTTAAAGCAAGCTCTGTTTACATCAGTTCACCCTTGAATCATCTATGTAATAAATCTTTATCATCAGGTACTTTTCCTCAACGCTTAAAATACGCTGTAATGAAACCACTTTTTAAAAAAGGAGAGAGAAAATGCATCTCTAATTACAGACCAATATCCATATTGACTTCATTCTCAAAAGTCTTTGAAAAAGTTATGTATAATAGACTACTTGAACACTTAAATTCTAACAACATATTAGTCAAAGAGCAATTTGGATTTAGGAAAGACCTAACAACAGAAAAAGCAACCTATGAACTAACTAACGATATTTTAAGTGCTCTCAATGACAGATTAATTGTGGGAGGGATTTTCTGTGATCTAGCAAAAGCTTTCGATTGTGTTAATCATGATATCTTACTATCGAAATTAAATTTCTATGGAATAACTGGCAAAGCTAATGAATGGATCAAATCATACCTCAAAAACAGGTATCAAAGAGTTGAAATAAATAATAAAAACTCCAGTCATAATGCATTTTCAAACTGGGGAATTATAAAGCACGGTGTTCCACAAGGATCAATTTTAGGTCCCTTACTTTTTCTTCTCTACATAAATGATCTATCTAAAACCATCAACAATAAATCTAAACCAATTCTATATGCAGATGACACTAGTATAATATTTAAGAACTCTAAATTTGACAACTTTAAAAATGACATAAATATTGTATTTGAAGCCTTAAACAGATGGTTCGAAGCCAATTTACTCTCATTAAATTTTGATAAAACCCATTACATATCATTCACAACTAAAAACAACCACCAAATTGATCTGGACATCAGTTATGCCAACAAATTAATCTGTAAAGTACTTGATACAAAATTCCTTGGAATACATGTAGACAGTACACTGTCTTGGAAAATACATATTGAACAAATTATACCTAAATTAAATGCAGCTTGCTATGCGATGAGATCAATTAAGCCTTTTATGTCACAGGAAACATTGAAGATGGTTTACCATGCCTACTTTCATTCTATTATGAACTATGGATTAATATTTTGGGGGAACTCTTCACATAGTGTAATAATTTTTAAAATACAAAAGAATATAATAAGAATCATTACAGGATGTAGAAGTAGAGATTCATGTAGAGAATTATTTAAGAAATTAAAAATTCTACCTCTTCAATCGCAATACATATTATCGCTTCTCTTATTTGTTGTTTACAACAAAGATAAATTCAAATTAAATTCTGATGTCTATAACATGAATACTAGACAAAAATATAACTTCCACCTACCCTCATCAACTTTATCAGTATATCAAAAAGGAGTCTACTTTACTGGCATAAAAGTGTTCAACAATCTGCCACAAAGTATTAAAAACTTGGGCAATGATACTAAAAAGTTTAAATCAGAGTTAAAGAATTATCTACATGCTCATTCCTTCTACTCTTTAGATGAATACTTCAATGTAAATAGAGAATGATGTAAAATTAAGTTATATTAATTTTTAAGCTAAAATTGCCTGTACTTATGTATGTAACATTTTGACTTGTTCTGTATCCAAAGGTACTAACCTGCTTAGGATTTATAGAATGTAAATAAATTCATTTCAATTCAATTCAATTCAGTAACAGTGAGTCATACATCTGGTGTTGAAGAGCCTCTTTTTCCTTCTCCAAAAATCGTTATGTCATTTCCATTTACAGAGCCAGTACATTTCAGCAAGCAGGGGCAGTCCACACCATATTGTGTTCATGAATAGGTTATACTAATGCTAAATTATAAACAAAAGATAACAACAAAAATTGCTTTTATGAGAATGGGCTTCAAATGACACCAATAAGAGAGTCTTACTACTGCTCTCATCTGGTTACAGCATGTATTATTATTACTCCTCTCATGTGGTCTGAGAGGATGGACCAGAAGCTATTATTTCATGTCATTAACATGTCTCCTTTGGCACAATGAAAGGAGGAAATTTTACACCTTCAGGAATGTCACCATTGTCATTTGATGTTTACACTTAAACGAACAAGTCCTTTCACTAATTCTGCTACCAGAATAGTATAATGGATTGTGTACTGCCTCTTACTGTCCTGGACAAGTGATGGACACTGCTGTTCTGTTCGTGTCCATCTGTCTAGCCATTTCCTTTTCCATGAGGGGGCCATGAGAACAGCATGGAAAGGTGACCCCTTTCTTTGGAGGGGGGGGGGGAAATAGCCACTTGGCCTGGCACTCATAGGGCATGCTGCAAAGTCTAATCTATGCTGGCCTCACATTATTTTTTTTAGCTCCCTGCATACCAGGAATGGTTGGCAGTAACCAAGGATTTCAAAGACAAGTGGAACTTCCCCCCCCCCCATGTTTAGGAACCACCAATAACATGTTCTGCTACATTGTCATGCAAACAGTAGAAACTCTTTTCACAACAATAAAGGGATATTTAGTATTACTTCACTTGCTGCTGTTGATGCTAGTTAGTAATTTCATTATGCTCATGCCAGTTGTCAAAGGAGACTATCACATGGGGCTGTAACACAAGAAACTTAATTTTTTAAATCACTGATACAAAACACTTTGAAACTGCCGTAACCAAGCAGATATTTCAAACGCCATTCAGAAATACTAAGTGTGTTTGTCATTGATGATGATTTTTCATTAAATTCATAATTTATGAAGCCATATCAAGGAGAATTGAGTAAAGGATCCACAAAAAGTATATTCAGCTACAGGCTTTCCAGAGCATGATATATTGTGGAAAAAGCTTTCAGTATATTTAAGAGTGTTTTGTAAACTATTTGCAATTGAATGCAACACAGCTGAAAGTGTTGTGCTGGCACGCATATATCGGCAAAACTTCTTGCGAAAATTTTGAAGAACTTACATACACCTCCAAGCTCACTGGACATACAATATACTACACAGAAGATGACTATAAAATGGGCCTGGAGGAAAGATGTTCAAATGTACACATACATCTGTGGTTTCTCAAGACCTCCAGAACTGGAAATGAAGTTACATTTATTAGCGATACTTCAATGACTGTACTTCATGAATGAGGGCTGCACGCGTGTCATGGCAAGACAAGACCTGAAATACATTTCAGTACCACATATTACAAACCTTGTTATATATCTGTGTGGTTATAATTGAAACTTTATCTCACTGTTGTTCAGCGTGTCTCTGCCAACCCTTGGAAGATCTGACTCCAAAATAAAATGAATCCCTTGCATTCAAACCAGCTTGAAGTGAAAACATCATCAGCTCAGCTTTAAAATGTTCCTTATGGAAGTAGGAACTTAACCTTTTTATTTTCTTTAAAATATTGTTTGAATCATTTAGATACTTATATGCCAACTTCTGCAGAGTGCCAATCCACATTTATTTTAAATCTTTACCCTTGCTATGCAACGGCTCTGGATACTGAGAGTAAGCTTCTAAGAATTATAAACTCTGGTCTTTATTCCAATACAGTTCTTTGAAATAACCTAAGTTCTAAGAAAGAAATCTGCACAGATAAACACGAGCAGCATACTTTTATTGGAAAATACATGTAAATTTGCCTCGCCTCTTTCATCAGAAAGCATGCATGAAATATGGCCTGCTTCTTGTTGCCTCCAGTGGCACTGATAAGTATTGTGACATGTTGCCCAACGGAGGACCCCTACCTCCCCAGCGGCACGTGGCGGTAACGTAGCGCTCGCATAATAGGTGAGTCATCACCCCGCCACTCTCCCCGCAGTGACGTGCCGAGCGGAGCTGAAGTTAGCCGAGTCCCCACAACCTGGTAGCTATGCAACCTGAGTCAACAACGGTGACGTCACCAAGGGATATCGCGGTTGCTAGGCAGCAGTCAACAACTCCTGTGACGTGGCACGCAACAGGCACCACTGCGGCTATATAAGGGAACTGCACAGCAGCTACGAGTCAGTTGTAATGTGGCCATCGCCGAACACAGTTCCGAGTTAGTCCTCGAGCTACCTCCGAGAGTTGTAACGTAGCAGTTCCGAGCAAGCCTACGAGCAGTGTTATCAACAGTTCTCAAGGCAGCAGCCTGCGAGCAGAGTTGGAATCTAGCCAGCGGCGTGTTACGAGTGAAAGTGTGTAATTCAGCAAGACTTGTATAGCTCCCGCGTTATTAATACGTGAAGACTACTGAAGATAGTGTGAAGAGATTTGGTTGTAGGGTTTGTAAAGTCTGGAAACCCGTAACATTGTTATAAATAATTGTAGCCGTTACTTGTAGGTTGTTAAATAAACCAATCAATGATCTCTACAGCATATTCAGTAACGAAACACGTTACAGTATTTTGACACATAGATATTGGTATGACTTGAGGAACATGCATATAAGTTGATTTGATGCAGGTTAATTTTTAATACAATTTCAATATTTGTTAATTTATTTTCAGCTTCACCACATATTGTTAGCTCATGTCAGTATATATACAGTGGCACAACAAACTGATCCACCTAATGTCGATGAAGACGATTTGAAATAAACGAATCAGTCATAACAATAAACTGTGTCATAATGCCCATCATAAATCCTTAAATGTATAACGTAATGTTACTAATGAGGCAGCCCAAACACATTTAAAATATTCTCCACAGTATTTGAGAAGTTGTGTCCTCAAAAATGTCCCATGTACCAACCATAGACAGAACAGCTACAAATCTACTTCATCGAGCATTTAATTTCTCCTTAATCAATATTGTTTTATGTAATTTCTGTTGTTCGCTTAACTCCAACATATATTGAATTCACTTACCACCTGACATATCTGTGTATCCTAAAACACTGAGAAAAAACAGGTTACATTATGTTTTGAGTTAACTGCAGCTTGGTCTGTGTTTGTTATATTTTGCGCTTATTGTTACTTCTGACAACATATTGGTATTTTTTTAATTCTTTCATTTCGAGCAAATCTGAGATGTGTTATTTATGAACTAAATGTTCTGTTCAATCCACACCACTTCTGAAATTGGACAGGCAGCATATTACAAATACGTATAGCAAGTAACTGCTGAGAGTGAAGAAGAGACTGTCTAAGCCTTGAGAGTTGTACAAAAGAAGGTCCTATGAATCTTTAGAGAATTAAGGTCCTGTGTTATGCAAGAAAGAATGTCATCAGATTTTAGGGATAAATTCATATTTTAAGCGATTTGCATGAAAGTGTTATCATCATCTTCAAGACTAAGACAGTAATAAGAAAACAATAAATTTCAACAACATCTTCCTACTATCCCCATACATGCCATTCACAATTACCTCACCATCACTTGGCTTAAACTCTGGGGCTGACATAATACTGAAGAAATGGTTTCAAATTTTGGATTTCATGCAGTATTGGTGGCTATTTCCAAAACAGTCAAACCAAATGAACAGACCTTTATTTCAAATACAGTACGAACATACATAACATTCCAACTGATGTACTTGGAATCTGCATTCTCATGAGAAATAAATGTACTATTAGCAGCGTAACCAACAGAACTATTGGCTACATATGATTTTCTCTTTGTACAGTGTTTAAGAAGTAGTCTGGATTTGGGGTTCTCTACACAGTACCATCTTCTGTGATATGACACCATGTAATCTGGTATCAGTCCATCAACTTTGCAGAGGAACATTACAGTGTTACATGACATAAAATAGTAGTTTTTATGAAACAGATTTATCATTATAACTAGCCTGACAGTTTGCTAATTTTAAAAAAATTTCTATCCACTACTGCAAATCTCTATTTTAAGACTGAAACTATAATGAAAAATACACGGTACAAAATTCACAAACACATTCTTAAATAATCCAATATGATAACCTGTACACAGTAGGAAACAATACCAGAACTCCCACCACTCATTAACACATACACACAGCAAGATAAACTGAAATAACCAGACACAAAATAATCATTTCACCATTAGGGTCCGTGCTTGCATAACTGTGTCCATGTTGCTGGTTACACAGGCACAAGCAGATATGGTGTCACTTTTTACAATATGAATCTCACTGCTGCCAAGTTTAAAAATAGCTGCTGGCAGATGAATTAAATCCAGCTGAAAAAAGTTAAACAAGGCAAAAGAATAAGAACCAATATTTAATATTTAAAATTCATGAGAATAGACATAACATAACATTTTCCATTATGAACATCTGTTTCTAATCTTGCTTAACTCATTTAGTTCATAGCAGCATAATTTAGGGTAGAAAGAGAAAGGCAGTGACGTGCTACAGAAGCATTCCCTTACACTGCTGCAATATATGGATTGGACATGAAAGGAAATCAAGAACAGCTGAAATAGGTACACACAACACACAAGTCACTGAATAAAAAACATAAAATGCATACAGGAAAATCATCATGTAAGGTTTCTTCGCCGGTCACGGTAGCCGAGCGGTCTAAGGCATGTACTTTCTTCGCTCGCTTGGAAACTGGGATCGTGAGTTCGAATCCCACTCAGGTCATGGATGTTTAGTTTGTGTGTGTGCGTTTTTCTGTGTTTGTGTACAGGTAGAGGCCTTGCGACGAGCTGATCACCTGCCCAAGGAGTCCTACCGAATGTGTAAGATCTAGAAAAACTGAAGTGAATGGAGAAGTTCATGGAGGTAGGCCCAGGCCCACTGGGGCTGTAGTGCCAAGAAAAAAAAATGGTTTCTTTGGGAAGCAGGGGATTTGAACACTAATCTCAGGAAAATCTCAAATGGCAAACTGACTCTACAGAGTTAAATCATACTTGAGCAGCTGGCCAGCTACTCAAGAAATTCCCAGTCATCTTATGGAACCTGTAAGTTCATTACTGTGTCCACTAGAGCCACCAATGATCCCTTATCCTCAGCCAAATAAAATCCAGCCACATCTTTCCTTGTGGTTTTCCTACCAAAACTCTGTATGCATTTCTCCTGCCTCTTATTCTTGTTACATGCCCTTCCCAGCTCATCCTCTTGCTTTGATAATTCTAATATCTAACTAAGATACAAATAATCTCCTCAGCTCCCTGTTCTCAGATATCCTTAATATGTACGAAGGTGTACCTGCGCTTAACTAATTAAACATTATGCAATTAAGGCATATGGGGGAGTGGATGTATAGATCCATGCATTCCTAATCTCGACATTAGTTGCAGGTGAATGGTCACTTTCACGACCTGGCCACTTTTCCCCGTGGAAAGAATTGCCGGTTCCCATTGGGTAAGAGGCTGGGTGGACCCAAGAACACATCTGGATGACAAGGAGAAGAAAAAATGAGTCAATTTCAACCACCTGGCTGTCCGGACCACAGGCAGTCACTGTGCCGACTGAGCTATCATGGCTCCCTCTTAATATATATTCTTCCCTTAATGTGAGAGACCAAGTTTCACAGCCATACAAAACTACTGGACAAATTGTGGTTTTACATAAAATAATTTTTGTTTTCACACAGCAGACAAGTATAAAAAAAAGACCACAAAACAAATGACAGAAAGCATTTCCCACAGAGTTAGTAGAGAGTCTGTCGAGTGTAAAAATTTGTAGGTCACTTTTTTAATATCACTTCTGCCTTACATGTTTCGGTTTGATACAACCATCATCAGAGGCACTTGCTATAACTATGGAAACACTGTCGTTGTTTATGATGTTCACAGTTATGTTTGTCGTGTAGACGCTGCTACAATATGCTGACGTGTAAAAGCACAAAACTTACTAAGATAGTTGAGTACACTATCAAGTCCTCACTTTTCATCCGAAACTGTTTTAAGTTAAAACGCTAAATGTTAAAATATTTAATCTAAAATGCTGAATTCCTCCTTGTTAGTTCATCCCGAAGATGGGAGACGTCAGCTTGAAGTTGTATGGCTTATGGTTCGATGTTTCTTATGTGCTGTGTGTTGTGTACACATTTAATCTTACTTTAATTTCTTCATGAATGCAATTTCAAAATCTGTTAGTGTCACTCACAGACATTTGAATTTTGCACTTTACTAAATCATGTTATGATTTTGGCTTGCATTCTAGTGATGAGACATGAGCATTATATTTAGTTCAGTTTACAGTTACATCTAGACCAGTATCCTCATTAGCATCTGGCAGATCTTCTGTATGCCTGCTAACTGTGCAGGTTACCATGGCGGTGACAGAGTGTGGCTCTATTGTCCAACCTGCACAAAGGGGAAATCACCCAAGCTTCAATCCCCATGGAAGCGCCCATAACCAGAATTCACCAGAATCAATGATGTGTTATACAAGATCCAGAGAAACTCTAGGCCAAGGATGATAATGGTACACTTGGATCAGCTCGCACCTTTACAGGGAGCTGGGTGGGATGATCGCCCTTGAGGAGGGAGTAGTGCCAATGGCTGGAGAGATGTCACCATGGGGGGGGGGGGACCCCCCGAAACCAAGCGCAGCCCTCAAAAGAAGGAACAATGACACACTGACAGGCTTTTTCATGATGAACAGCCTTAAGGCGGGACCAATGTGACGGAATAAACCATTGCTACACAATGCTTCAGTAAACACATTCTCGACATTACACAGTCAACAGTATGACCTCCATTGCTAGGTAGCAAGTCACTAGACATATTCCCATGGTAACAGGTACACACAGAATAACAGAGAAACTGTTAGACATGGTGACTTATAGTTGGGTCACCCTGAAGTTATAATAGAGTAACAGTAATGTAGTCATAAGATTCCGAAGCTGAGTGTTAACCAGGGGACAACGGAGGCTGAAGAAGTAACCAACTCATAAATCAGAACCAAGGTAGACATACAGAAGACACCCATAGACCAGAAAGAAATGGAGTGAATCTTAGACATTCATTAATTGTGAGCTGTTATAATTAATCGTAATTGTAATCAAAGTGCCAATAAAGACAATCATCCAATCCAGAACCCATTTCTATTTTTCACGTAAACCTCTAATATGTGATAGTATGTATGTGAGTTCTCCCCACTAAATTACCTCTAGGATAGAGCAGGTGCTGATGAGTCTCATTCAGTTTCAGTCCTTTAAGGTTTTATTCTGAGTATCTAAATGTCGAAGTTTAAAAGCAATGGCAATGAAGCATTTTCTTATCTCATACCATTCTGAATTCGAAACTCATCAGGCAAACGTCTACTTGTATGGACTTTACTATGTTTCATTTGAATACAATTGCTAAATAGCTTCATGAGTATGTGAAACTCAATAATACTGTAAATATTTCACTCCTAACTGAATCACATGCTTTCTTGAAGTTACATCCTCATGTCCCACTCAGTAGAATCAAATTTGGCTTCATGAAATACTCAGTACTGGGGTACACTAGGACACTGTTCAATAGTAATAGCTTAGCATACTTCTAACCCCTAAAATTATGTTTCAGTACTTACCATCTCCAGATTTCATCAAATGTTGTGTGACAAAATGGAAGAACAGATAGTGTTCTCTGACTATAATACACAAAACTCATGAAAAGGAAGAAGTGTGACAAATTTTCCAAAGAAACAGGAAATTTTTTCAAGCTCACATGTTCATGAAGAGAATTATCTGATGGAGAATATATTCTATACACACAGAATGGGCTTCAACAATCCACCTGACATTCCTTCCCTTTTATTTAAACATATCCAAATACTATCATAATGCAATGGACCCACTAACATAAGTATATACTGTCCTTTGGGTAAGACACACAAACCCATGCATGTATGCACATACCTGCACACACCATACATTCACTCACCTGAATCAATCAATTGTCTCAATCACATCTTCAGGTACAGCTGTGTTACCACCCATTGGTTGGTGCCTCTTGTAATGCTTTGTCATTTCTTGTAACTGATTTCCTGTATGTAAGAAATAAGAATTAGAATATGCTACAGAACAGTGAACCAAACGTAGCATGTAGCAGTCAGCTACCCTACTTCATTCTACAGAGAATCCAAATTCAATTTTTACTATCCTCAGTGTGGCCTCCCAGTCTTCCTCTCTCTCTCGCAAGGCAAATATTGCGGTCATATCCATTGATACTGATTCTGTTATGATCCTGGATTCAAATTCTGCAATCGAGACTTGATACCCTCACTGAAGATATCTAAGGATTTAATGTCATCCTACAGAAACAGCAGGATAGAGTCTTGAATGTTCTTTTCCAATTTATCACCCATTATTATTATTATTATTATTGGAGGGGGTGGGTTTCCCCATGCACCGTGACCAGTGGTCTATTGTACGTCCCCCTGTGATATTCTACCAGTCTCTATACCCTACCGATACTGGTGCGTGCCATTAGTCCCGACTCAGCGAGCGAGTTTGGCCTCTACTGGCTCAGCGGTATCTAGATGCTTAACCCATCTACCAGAGGCATTAGAGACACTGTTGGGTGGGAAATGTCCTTAATAATTTGGCTCAGAGGACTCCTTGAGACATGAGGTTCTTTTACGTGCCGTAAAGCTATGACACGGGACCCACGGCTTAAAGTTCCTCCCGGAGGACTTGTTCCCTGAATTTTTCCGCCCTTAAAAATGCCACGACCTCCGCCGGGTTTGAACCCGCATATCTTGAGTCATGAGGTGGGAACGTTGCCCCTAGACTACGGAGGAATTTATCACCCATAATCATAGTGTAGTTTCAGCATCATTAACTAAACAGAGACTCAACTATAAAACTGCACATTACCATATGCCACAGTAAAACAGGTAGCACTCCTGCTTTATATTCAGGGGCCTTTGGGTTCAAACCTCAGCACAAAGACTAGCTATACTACGTGATGTATTTCATGGTTTTCTTCACTCCCCCAGCCAAATAACAGGATAATGCCTCAAATTAGGCCACAACCACTCCTTTCTGTATCCTTCCTATTCAGGCTTTGTCAAAGTAAGATAACAGGAAAAATATATAATATATACTTTCACTTCCCTTCTATCTTAGTTTCAGGTAAGTGCATACTTTATATAACAATTTTTATTGCATATTTTCCCTTTCATTTACCTTCAACAAAGCCTGGTTTCAGGTATTTATATAGCTGTAATTATACTGATATGGGCTGACCAGTGATTGAGGTTACCTATTATTAAGAGACACAACTGAGTGGGTGTCTCGGCCTCAAATGAGGACGGGAACACACACTTCTTCTGAAACGTTGTGTTCTCTAGTTTTTTAGAATACCAGACGATGGACAAAGTCCAAGAACCCAGTAAATTGGAGTGTTACACACCACTGTCAGAAACCTTTAACATCTACTAATATGGATCCTCATTTTCAAATAAAAACTGAGCGATACCTGCATTGTCCCCATGGTAGGATGGTGGTGATTCATGATGATGATGACGATAAAAGGGAAAATAATAATAAGAAAGATGTGGAGGTGGTGTCCAGCAAAGGGACCTGGGGTCCAAGCTATGTCAGGAGCATGGTATTTCAAGACCTTTCAAATGGAAGTCTAGCACCCTACCACTGGACCATTAAATTCTCATCCTTATAATGCTCTGACAATACTTGTAATAGCTGAAGGGCACAAAAAGGATACTGAACCAAGGCATAAAAGAAACTCAACTGAGCAGGATCTTTGTCGCCAAACCAGTGATGTCTCAGCTTGATAAAGCTCTCTGTCTTTTATAGGAACCTACAATTCATTATTGAGAACCCACCACATGACCAGATCATCAATGCAATGAAATCAGCCCACATCCTCAGATACCATTTCAAAATCCATCTTATTAATATCCTTCCATCTATGCCTAAGTCTCCAACTTGATCTCTTTCCTTTGGATTTCCTGACTGAAGCATGAAGCATAATGTGCATTTCTCATTCCCCCTCCCCCCCATATGCTGCCCATTCACCCTTCTTCATTTCTTCATTCTAATAAATACTTGGTGAAGAACAGAAATCATGAAGCTCCTTATTATACAATATATTCCATCTTTCTGTTACTTCCTAGCTCTTAGGTCCACATATTCTCCTCAGCACTATATTCCCAATTAACCTCACTTCTTTTTCTCTTAATGGCAGACCAAAGTTTCACACCCTTACTTACTTACTTATTTATGGAGCTGAGCCCATCTTGAGGAGAACCAAAATCTGCAGCTACTCAAGAATTGCCCAGCATTTTATGGAATCTGAATGTTCATTACCGTGTTCACAAGAGCCCTCCACTGGTCCCTATCCTGAGTCAGATCAGTCAAATCCATACCATCCCAAAGTTTCACACCCACACAAAATAATAGGTAAAATTATAGTTCTGGAGGCCCTGAAATAAGTATATGAGTGTCCACAGTTCATGTACATCATATGTATTTCTTTCTCACAATTGAAATTCAAATAACATCAGAACACGGCAGAACACTAACCTCTGTTGCCGGAATATACAATTGGAGGTGGCATCATACTAGTGGATGGTCTCGACATTGGCAAGATCACTGGCTGTCGACTTACCACTTGATTGCCTCCTGCATCACTGCCATCAAAGCTCTGTAATTGTGTAAATAATAATAATATGATAATATGAAGCATGAAGAAAGCAGTCTTCTGGGATTTGGCACTGTGTATATGTGGTGTTAACCGACGTTTCGGAGGAACGTATCGCCTCCATCTTCAGGGTAGAAGAAAAAATATAAGAAATCTGCAAAGCGAAGAGACCGTGAGAAACGGTAAAAGCAGCCACCAGTCTCAAGGTCTCTTCGCACACCACATATACATGGTGCCAAATCCCAGAAGACTGTTTTCTTCAAGAGGAACAGAGACATACACCACTCCAAATAAATACACAAATGCAAAGAGTCTGTTTTACATGAAATAAGTTGTTACAAAGTCTGACAATTAAAAACCCTGGAAGGCTAAGTGTATGCATTTATTAAAGGACACATGGCATGCGATGCAACTTAATACTGAAGGAGGTTTATACCTACAACTTATTTACAGCAGAAATTACAAACAAGAATTTCATAGCGATTTAAGCTGCACAGTATGATATATGAGATGTTGAAGCTCCCCCTTACCCAATTTTCTCCAGCCACCTCTTACTTCACCCTTTCTAGTTCAAAATATTCTCCACAGTACCCAGTTATTAAAAGCACTAATTCTGTGTACTTCCAATGACAGAGATCATGTTTCACACCCATTCACAAAAACAGGTAAAATCACAGTTTTATCTTTAGATACTTGGATAGGCAATGCAAAGACAAAGGATTCTGAACTGATTGATAACAAGCATAACCTGAATTCCTTCTGCAATTAATTTCTTTGTAAAGGTAACTCTGTTATGTTACTACTGTTTCCAGATACTTTTCCAAAATCAATTTATTTTAAAGAATTATAATATTGTCACGTGTTGGGTATGTCATGAGACAAATAACTTCACGTGGGTCTCCGATTTAGCGAATCTTTATTGGACACTCACTCTTACACACCTTACAATTATTATTGCTTGCAGTATCACTTGACTTCTAGCCCAATACTCTAATACAACGTCTCAACTGTCTCTGGCGGCAGCTGTTCCAAGATTGTCTCGTTCAATTCGCTGCGGGAACTCCACAATTTCCACGTATTCGTTGTCGTGGAAGTGTCCGTTCCGACTGTAGAGGTTGTCGTGGCGATGGATGTCAGATAATGCGTCACACTGCTCCCTTCTAAAGGTTGTTCGTCCCCGAACAGCCTAACAGTACTTCTAATAATGTTATATTTTAGCGTCCTGTTGCACTGATTTAAGTCCATGATTTATTTTACCATATTTTAGTGCATACACTTATCTACCTCACTCCTTTCTCCCGCACTACATGTTTCGGCACAAAAGTGCCATCTTCAGGTGCTTATTCAATTAACGTCAAACTAGTTCACTGCATGCCTTGTCTTCATATTAAAATAATTAAAATATATATTTATCATATATACCAACAAATATCAAATATTAAAAATATTAAAATTGTTCAGTATTTTTCCTACGTCGTATCTTACTTCCCGAGTCACCTCTAATCTCTTCTGTTGGAGCACTCTTTCTATTATCGTATGTGGATTGTGCTTTATGTTGTGTCTTGCTCCTGTGACTGCGTGTATTATACTGCTGGGCCTGCTGGGTGTGTGTGTGACACACATACAAATTTTAATAATGAAAAAATATACTGAGAATAGAACGGCAATATTTCTAGTTTCTGAACAGGTCCTTGCTGGAGTCCCTATTTCCAGAATTCGTAATAATTCTTATAACCCTCTTTTGTAGTTTAAATACATTGCTACTATGTGAGGAATTCCCCCAAAAAATTATACCATATGACATAACTGCATGGAAATATGAGAAATAAATCATTCTCAAAGATTCTTGAGATACAAGATGCTTACTACTGCCCCTCTAAGAGGAACTCATACTATGCACAGAATGGATGATCTAGTAAAACACTTTTAGCCCATGTTTGAAGTCTTTACATCCATCTGTACTGTATTTTATTCATACATGAACTGTGCTTCATATTAATGTGTTTTTGAACCTGCCAATCCTCTAGAAGTCCAAACACAACACAAAGCTTCTGAAGCTGGATCTGTGTCCACCCTCAGGTGAAAAAGCGAGGTGAGACCTACTTAACTAGGCCCAATGGAATGAGATGATTTCAGTCAATGGATACCTACGTAGGTCAACCAAATCTACATGAACATCTAGGATCAGGTTTTATCAATGTAAGATAAATAAGCAATAAATCTGTGGACATACTCATGCAGACCTCAAACTAAGACAGAAAATGAAGTGAGAAGTAAACCCATTAAATAAAAACGTGAATGTAAACCACAATTACAGATACAGAAGGAACTCAAATTCGTATGCTACTTCTACAAAATACCATTCTACTGTACTGAAAACTTTTTCTCTTACCATAGTTCTGTATGATGTGCTTGGCGGATTAAAAGGAACACGTTTAGGTTGCAGTCTCAATACACCAGACTTGTCCTTAGCAATATTTCGATACAAGTTAGTAGGATATACTGCTGTATTCTGGTTGGTTTGCGTTTGGTCCTGTAACATATAGAATCATAAAATTTAAATTATAGGCTCATAAGGTTATAATTCACACACTACAGCCAATGTACTGGCTTCTATATCACAAATTTTCCATGATATGTCATAGAGTAAAAATTACTTCACCTCCCAGCAAAATTCTTTAAGCTACAACTAACAGCTCCAGGTGAAAGATAACCAATCCTTCACTGTATGCAAACAATGTACACATAGAAAACTATTTACTTTATTAACAGCAGATTAACTCCATGATATATGAAGCTTCATTAAGCAGCGGACAATTATCCAGCACGGTATCTGTTCCTACTATTATGGAGTTCATTAACGTTTTCACAAAATTCTGTAAAGACTCTAAACTGTACCAGATGAAACGGGTGAGAGAGAGAGCAGTGGTGCTCCAATTAATTATAGTTCTGATATGTGTGAATAAGTGGTCAATAAATCATTCACCAATCCAAACCCCGTCTAGAGTCACACATACACGTGACACTAGTCATTGGATTGATATACCACCATACTACAAAAATGGAAAAAATGGAACAATGATGGAAGGTCTTGTAGCTGCCGTAGAAATTAGAAGACCATCATGAATGGATGATGGCCGATATGGACTCCCAGCAGAAGAAAATGGAGACCGCTGTGGAAACCATTCAGGAAGAAGTGAATGGCATGGAATTGGAGGCATATGGAGAAGAAACAGAGTCCAAGGCAGAGCATGAGGAGGTTCTAAGGAAGAGGCAGCAGTGGAAACTTCTGGAGCACTGAAGAACCGGTACAGGGACAGGCATCTACACACCCGCAAAGCAATGACCTGCCCTGCCATTCCTGCTCCATGCAAGGGACAAGGTTGTCAGGGATCAGGGATGGACAAGGATGTACCAAGAACCCAGAAAGGACAGATGTTCAGGATGAGACATTAGGCAAAACCAGAAGGCATCAATGGAACAAGGAATCAAGACTTAGAGGAGCAACTATGTCTGAGGAAGGAGAGTACAGCTGGCAGGATCTTCAGGAAGGTTCTCATACGGAAGATCATGAAGCAAAGACTTGAACCTCCACTCAGGTTTAGGAAAAGGAATGTCAGGGCATTGTGGAGGGGTTGGTCCTCTCCAAAACAGAAAAAGAGACTGCACACAGTGTAAGATGTACAAGCACAGGCCACTTTAAGTAGTTAGCCTGTACCAAACGAAAGAAGAGTCTTTACTGTTGGCATCCTGTTGTGTGTCATGATGTGGAAAAGAAGGGTGATGGTAGGACACCTGGACTGACTGGCACCTTATGAGGAACTGCTTGGGACGAGCCGCCTTAATGAATGAGCAGCAGGAGCTGTTGGACAGTAATCACCACGAGAACTGAGCCATGGGGAGGAAGGTAAGATTGATCAGATGTTACAAGCACAGCCCTCAGAAGAGATGGAATGGCGGTACACCAGCGGGCTATTCGGGACAAATAACATTAAGGAGTGAGCAATGTCACATATAGACCCATTGCTAAGCAGTGACTCTGTGGACAATGACTGTTTCTGGGCAAACGACTCGGAAAACACATTCCCGTTGCTAGGCAGCAGATTCTTGATAATGCGACAGTTGGACACAACAACAGAATTGTGCCTTCTATGTAGTCCATGCCAATATGTTATAACTCGCAGGTTTGGAGCTTAGTGAGTTTCAAAAAGTTCTGCATGGGAGGCTGTGAAGAGAGGACATGAGCACATGACGCTGAAGAATCTCCACTGTTAGAAGCCAATGTCAAGGAACGGCTTGTGAAGATAAAGCAGGCTGGAAAAAGGCTTAGCTGGTGCTGTGGTGATTTGTGAATTGCGGACATTAGTAGTGGTGATCCAAATGCCTGTAGTTCTGAGTCGTGTTTATAAGTGGTAAACAAATCCATTCACCAATCCAAACCCCATCTATAATGACACATACCACGTGACAATAAATATACTAGATCTGCTAAAAATCAGTGGATCATTCAATAAAATGGAAACCACCCTCATGAAGTTACACACTAGCATAAACATGCCTTGCTGAGATGATATATGCAGGTAATATCCAGAAGAATGAATAATATGTTGAGTCAGAGCCTAACAAACAGATGTGAAATGGGTTAATGAAGTACGTGTAAGGCTTCAGTTCATCCAAGAGACTAGAAAATGTGCAAATAAAAAAAAGCTGAACTCTGTGGTTTTAGTCTGCAAGTGAACTATACCCGCTGAGCGACCGTCGTTTGTCAGCGAAGTTAGTGGGGGGGGGGACCCTGAAATACTGCTCCTACATCACAGTAGCGTAGTTGGTTGAGGCACTATGCTACAAGCTGGAAGGTCGCGGGTTCAAGTCCTGATGAGGTCATTGGATTTTTTTCAATTGACCCAATCCTTCCAGCCGCACTATGGCCCTGGGGTTGACTCAGCCTCTAACAGAAACGAGTACCAGGAATTAATCAAAATAATTTTCCTGGGGAGTAAAACGCTGCCGGCCATAAGGCTGACAACCTTGCCTCCATCTTCAAGCCAACTGTCTAGATAATGTGGGACCCTCAATATTTCAGAACCCTATGGGCCTTCATGGTGTGGTACAGGGATAGCTTTACTCTTTACTTTACTGCTCCTACATGCAATGAGCAATTATTTTTTACCTGTATGTACTGCTTGAATGTGACAACAGAATTATTGAAGTTAGCTGCATTTCGCAAAGCATTCTCTTGCTGTAACCTCCATTGCTCCTGCTGCTGTGCTCGTATCAGCTGCTCCTGATGTATTCGGTATTGCTGCAATGCTTGGAGCTGAGCAAAAACAGGAAATTTTCAGTTACTGAAACATACCTCCTTCTAAACAATTATGCATACATCCGTTGCCAGTATACGACTAGTGAGAACTAAGTACCCTAATGTGTTTGCAATTGTGAGCTGGAAAGTGTGTAGAATAGTGATAGCACTGTAACTGCCTCTAGTCGTGAACTGTGTGAATGTATAATGTGCAATAAATCACAATCACTTTGAGTTACAAATTAACCACCCTAGAAAACACAGAGAAAAGAATTTTTAAGGACAGGCAATGACATGTAATGGTACATACTTCTAGATTTCGCACTTTGGTTACACATTAGGCAAAATAAAAGAAATCATGACAAATGGTGAGGCAGTGGTTGCAGTTGCATTGTGGTAGGAAACGAAGCTGATGCTTTAGTTTGACAAACTCATATACACTATATAATCGTCACCTCAGTTAGTGGACCTGATGGACTCCAATGCACATTCTGTTGAGGGGGGGGGGAAACCCCAGACAGTACTGAATTTATATACTTGTAGAATTAACAAGCACTTACTGCATCAAAGGAATGACCTATTACAATATTATGTGGAGGGGAGGGGAGACGGCTAAAAATTCTACTAAGCTTTGAATTGTCTCATTCTGGTCTGCTACACTATTAATTTAGAAAGTTAATAGAATTTCCGTCCAGTGCGGCAATAGAGGTCACATCACTTTTATTATTCTTGCCTTACATGTTTCGGTTTAATTAAAACCATCATCAGAGGCACTTTTCATATGGAAGAAGACACTGTAAATTAAGCTGGTTTGATGTTCACTTTCAATTGTGTTATTCACAGATGTATGTTTCATATATTGTCACAGGTTTTAGTTACAACGGCACTGGTTGTCATATAAAAACATTATCACTTTTCCCACAGTAGATTTCTTATGTTTGGATTAATCACTATTAAACTATTTAAATTTAATTAAAATTGTCGTAAGTCTTTGTTGGTTGTCAATTCTTCCCGTGGATGGGAGTCGTCATTCTTGGTGGTGTGTGGGCTTATATGCGTTATGATGTTATGTGTGTGCTGTGTCCTTTGTACTGAGTACTAAGTTCACAGCAGGTTTGACAATGATAAAAAAGCCAAGCCTAAGGCCAGAGGATTCTGCTCCATTTCACACTGCTTTCAGTAAAGTGCTTTCTGGACAAAGAATAAATATTACTACTGGACCATTCATAATACTGACCAAAATTGATTCTGTATGACATTTCCATATTCCTGATACTAAAAATCTCCTGAATGATCGCATTAAAAGCATTTTGTAGAAACGTTTTCAGGCATGGCAGAGAAACAGGAATATGTATAAACTCAGAGGGCAAATACTACTTCAAACACAACCACACTCATGAGAGGTTATTAGAAATTTCTCTCTACAGAACCAATCCAGTTACTTGTCATACCTTGTTCTACGTACAGCATTTATTTCTCAACAGACCTGGAAGTTTGGTGCTTGCATTCCATTCGGTGAGTTCAGATACTCATATAGCTGGTTCGCAACCATCTTCAATTGTAGTTCAAGTTGTTCTTCTGTTGCTTGAGGATTCTGAACAAATAACAATCATCACATAAGAGGCCTACTCACTTGAAAACATTTACACAACAAATTTTGAAAGTTTTTATAACCTGAATACTGGTGCCAAGTTAACACTGCCTTAAATGAAGCCTGCTACACAGAGTCTTTCTCAAAGGACCAAATTGCTTGCAACAGCTGCAACCTTAGTTGAGAAAACAAAAATTGGATGGATGCTTAACATGCTGCATATTATATAAACAGATGCACATTTCTTAAAATAAATAAACTGTTTAAAAGAACTCTCCATCACAGCAGATGCATAAAATATCTCCCCCCCCAAAATGTAAAGTTGTCCCTGTGCTTAATTAATTAAGTACTATGCCATGAAGACATATGGAGGAGTGGATGTATAGTTTCACCATTCTTGATCTCAGTACTATAGACAGGTGAGTGGTCAGCTTCATGCCCTGGTCGCATTACCCCCCCGGGAAAGAACTGCCGGTACCCACTGAATAGGATGCCGGGTAGACCCCAGAGGCAGATTGGACATTGAGCAGAGGAGAAAAATCTTGGATCTCACAGGATATGAACCTGGGCTGTCTAGCCTGTGGTCCATCATTATACTGACTGAACTACCCCAACTCCACAAAATGTCTCCCAACTCCAAGTCTCTTGAAAGTATTGTCTGACACTAGTTTTAAGTTCTGACCTCAACAGATGTAATTGTTTCACAAATGTTCTGCTTAAGTTCCTCCAATTTGTGAGGATTATTTGAATATGCTTCGTTTTTTTTTTAGGCTTCCCGACACATAAAATTCACAGGGATTTAACATTGCAGGCCACAATTTGAGACCTATCAGTCTGTCTTCAAACACTGTTTAAATCATTAATGGAATAATTAGCAGTGTGTACTGCAGCACCATTTTACACACCCCTTCTCCCCTTCTGCAATGCTTCAAAATAGGGCAACAAATGTTACTGACATACCAATGTGAATTAATGGCCTGTTCAAAAATATAGGCCCCACTATTCATGTAACAGTACTGGCACAAAAAACATGAATCTTCTGATCATGAAGAGGTAGTTCAAAAATCTGTCTTGGATTAATACTGCTCCAACACCAACTGTTCTGAGCACTGATATACCCAATCACAAGAAACCAAGTTTCATCAGTGGAAAATATAAGTGTTGGAGCAAGGAGGCTGTCATATTCTGCCCAGAAAAACCTGTTACACAAATGTGTTCATCTCTCTTAATCACCATGTTCAAAGTGCTTCAGCAAGTATCATTTTAAAGAAGTGCAGATGTACATGTACTTTTTAGTCACTTGAAACCTCTGCCTGTTCAGTTAATCATGTCAGGGATTTGTAAAGTGATTTTTTTAATTTAGCTTCAATTTCATCAAGTTTTTCCTAAGCTGGCACCCCATTCTTCCTAGTGTATTTCTTGTTTAATGGTTTGAAGATCACTAATGAAGCAGGAAGTCCAACACCAGGATATGTACAGTCAAACCTTCTTTTACATGATTTATGATTTACTTTTCACATAAGTACTGTATAGAAGAACCTACTGTTCAGACATATATCCATCGTCTCAATCAAGTACCGTAAAAGGGGACAAAAAAATATGTCTGAATGGATTCTAAAGAGTTCAGTTGGTGTATAAAAGTCACAAATGCTGGGTTTTTGGACTTTGACCATCGTCCAGTGTTTTAAAAAACTACAGAACACAATGTTTTGCAAACTGCATATCCTTCTGTTCTCAGGTGAGGGGGGAAACACCTTCTCTGATGAGTCCCTTAGAAAGAGTTAACCTCAATCATTGGACAACCTTTTACATCATAACTAGAGCTATATAAATATCTCAGACCAAGTTAGCAACTCATAGGGAAGATCAGTATGATCTGACAGAGTCTTCATGGGATTCTGTAAGGTTTTAATTCCAAGTTTTCAGGTTTTATTCCACACACGACACTAGTTGTTGGCACAAAATGGTTTTGCAACCTTCTCCAATTAATCACATGCACTGGTGTTCACGGACTTGGTTTGTTGCACAAAATTTTCATCTCCCTTTCTACCTTAGTTTCAGGTTATTTTTTTTTGCACATTTTCCCATTATCTCCTTTTGACAAAGCCTGGTCTCAGGTATTTATATAGCTACAGCAATACTGAGACAGGTTGTCCAGTGATCAAGGTTAGCTCTTTCTAAGGGACCCAACAGAGTAGGTGTCTCCCTCCTCACCTAATGACAAAAATGGATATAGTTTCCGAAATATTGGGTTCTCTAGTTTTTCAGAACACTGGACAATACATGAAGTCCTAAAATCCAGTAATTCTGAGATGTCTGAATGTCTTATAAGGACAGAAACACAAGCAAGACTGAGAGGTTTTGCAGTGAGCCATGTTTTTCTCACAGATGGAGAAGACTGATTCATCTTTTTGAGAAAGACACTGTATTAAAGGACTTCATACATACGAAGCACTCTTAAAACCAAGTGATCATTACATCTGTTCAAGTTATGTTCTTCTGAAATCAAATACTTAAAAAAAAAATTGCATATTAAGGCTTTAAAACAGCACATCAAACAATCAGTTCACACATCATCATGATACTGAGACTAATAATAATAATAATAATATGACACTTAAAAATGTCAAACTATAACTAACAAATAATTTAAAAGCAACATATTCGTTTTAACACACTAGATAATCCTATACTGACCTCTTTCCTTATGATTTCACGAAGAGCTGCCATGTTCAGAGTGGGTGGCCCAGTTACTAAAATTTAATGAAGAAATTGCAAAATTAAAAAGTAGTACAGAACAATGTTAACTGCATGTAACAAGAAATGTGTTGAAAATTAGAACTCACATTAATCTCCTCTAAACAAACCTGGTGGAATGATCTTTCCTTTCTTCTCACTCTCATATTCTTCCCATGCGGCTTTACGTTCCTCTTCATTGAGCTCTTCCTCCTCTTTGTTTTCAAGCAAAGATTCATGTTCATGGTACGTAACAATCCACTCCTCATGTTCCTTTAACAGTTCTGCCAGCAGTCGATCCTAAAAAGAATAATTCTTTCAGGATGAAAAAACTATGGTATGCAAATTTTTGTACAAACTCTGAGCATAAAAAGAAACATTTAGAGGAAGCAGAATATACGAATGTTCCCAACTCTGGGGCACATATTCCACCATGATTTACCAAGTGCAAAAACAACTTCATAAAGTCATAACTACACACAAGAGCCCTGGAGCTGAAGGCATTAGTATATGCTGAAGGTAGAAGAAATTATAGGGTAATTATATTTAACAAATTAGGGATGTACAGTTCTGGTTTTACTTCTAAGGCTGGTACATGAATCATGCTCTTTACAAGTGATCTCTGTATCTGAATTTAAAAAAATTATGGGCAGAGAAGTTATGTATATGAAACTATTATTTTATGGACACTTTATGATTTTAAAATTTGAGGCAATCTGGTCTTCAGAAACGAGGAAAAGACTAGTAATAAATGAATGGTCTATATAACAGAAAATAATCTCTAGTCTCACAAAAGTGGCAATGCATTTCTTCCTAGAAGCATGATATAGTGTTAATCCCAGCTGCTTGCATTTCACATATCAGTCATTTATACTTTCATTTTCACTGGCACACATAATGTGTAAAATGAAGTATGAGCTCAGGTCACACCAGGTGTGCTTGAGCAATCATCTGGAATTTCATTTAAGCACATTACAGCAAGCAAACACACCTTAATATTACACTTCAGTAATGCAATTTTAGAGAGGGGGGGGAAGGACAGCCAAAGACAGTGATTAAATAAATGTGTCAAGTGCAACAGTGGCCTTCTTGGAATGTGCCTGAATCATTCATTTGGAAGTCATTAATTCATCTGAAAAACTCCCGTTATAACGATACGGTAAACCATGTAGAAGTCACCTCTTTAACAGTACAGTTACTGTGTTCTTAGCTATTATTGTGCTTTGAATGATTCATTGCCGTGGATATCGGCTTTCAACAGAGCAGGTTACACTGCGTGCAGTGAATCATAGTACTAGAACCACTGCGTAGCGATAAGCACATTAGACCACTGTAGGTCGCGGTGAAAGGGCTGAGAAGGCCTACCCCTCATATATTCATTGTGTAGTGATAGGCGCCAATTCTTGAATGTTTGGGATCAGGTTAACCTATTCATTTCCTAGAAATGTCTCATCTGTCACAATACAAATCCTTCGAATTTGGCCTTCAACATCACTTTCATTTCATAATTGTTAAATCATCCTAACATTCAAAGCAAAATAGGTCAAAATGCTGTTAAATACCAAAAATAAATAACTTTTAAATAATTAAATGAATATCTCAATCACTGTAATCCATCAAAACTGCCAAAACTATAAAAATATCTATTTCATGAACAGGGTTATCTGTTCCCTTCTCACTGAATGTGTTGCTGGTAGTAGTACTACGCCAAAATAATGCTGACTGACCAATTGCTCAGTTATTTATCAACACGTTATCAAGTGCAATGGTTATGATGTGCTAATGATAGGGTGATCTGTAAATGGTGAATTATTAAATTAAGTGGTTGTGGCCCCTTTTAAAGTAATATTCCAGCATTTTGCTGGAAGAAATAAGGAAAACAGAATACTTCAGACAGAATAGCTAGTCTATGGGCTAAATTGTTGATTATGTAACTTCCTGAATATCAAGCAGGAACACTATCCACCAAGATCTTCTTTAAAATTACACTGTACATGTAAACACTAGTCACAACAGTCACATGATCAAATTTGCAATGATACAATGTTATGAACTGTACTGAATACAATCCTGCAAAATCCATACCTGTTACTCCAGTGAGTCACTCCATTTTAAAATCGAAGAAGGCATACAAACTAGGTCAGATAACAACTGACAAATATGGGCCAACATGAAAGCAGAACTCACCCAACTCAACAGCACTTTCAGACTGTCCAATGTTGACTCACGAATGAAGCAAGTGACAGAATCACTAGGGAGGATTGGATTTTGCATGTCCAAAATGCAGAGCAATTACAGGAAGAGGACTTCTGCCCCACCTCTCCAAAATACTCTGGATAAAGTTATGTAATGCATTACAGCACAGTTAGGTGATGAATGTGGTGGCTCAAAATGATATGGACAATGAAAATGAAGATAGTGACAAGTCATTGGCTGTCCCATTATTATAAATATGTTGTTTTATGTTTATTTATATAGACACTGTCAACAATTACTACAGCTTTTGAGAATGGAATAAACCTTTATATTTCTTCATCAAACTGTTTGCTTTATGTTGTATTTTTTCAGTATCAATATGTTTTGTCTACATGAAAATGCATACACCATTCATTAATCTCATTCAGTGCCTAGCAAGCTTCCAGCAATAATGCCATTCACTATCACTGTCTTAGCTCCATATAACTAGATTCTGTGTCTTACATAGCATTATCTGAACCAATTAGTTAAACATTTTCTTATACTTAAATAATCTTTTGCACTATTAACCAACTCCTTAGTAGGAGTTACACACAAAAGCACTGTCTGCTGTTTACTTTGTGCATGCACATCCTACCCAAATTCTACACAGAATCTGTTGCAAAACAATAAGCCTGAAAGTTCTCAACTTTTAAACACGTGGTAAAATTTGATTTGGTTCATCCTGGTCCATCACACTAGCAATATGACAAAAGGCTAATCAACTCCATCCAGTGTGACTGATAAAATGTTTCTTATTTCTTTCCTTTTTAATCTTTTATCCTTGACATGTTTTGGTCTTAGAGACCATCTTCAGAAGGATATTTCAATACAGGCAGAAACTACTATTCCAATGTGGTTGGTCAATAACAATACATACATACAATATCATCACAATGCCATGAATAAAATATGATCCTTTAGCAACTACAGCAACGTGCATGAATACATTAAAATATTTATACAGGACACAAACCATATTAGTTCTAAAAATTTTAACATAATCTATTTTAAACCATACTTGTAAATAGACTAATTGTAATAATTTATAAATGTTTTAATGTATTCATGCACGTTGATGTAGTTGCTAAAGGATCATATTTTATTCATGGCACTGTGATGATATTGTATGTATGTATGTACTGATATTGACCAACCACATTTTAATAGTAGTTTCTGCCTGTAGCTGAAGACGGTCTCTAAGACTGAAACATGTTAAGGATAAGAGGTTAAAAAAGAAAGAAATAACTAAAAAAAACATTTTATCAGTCACACTGAATGGAGTTTACCCTTTTGTAATGTGGCAAAATGGTTTAAAACTTGTTCACTGATCTGTCAACTGGTATTCCAGCCGGCTTTTCCTTGCAAAGTGCATCTGAAGACTACAGATTCAAAATCTTTGTTCTCTGCATTGGTTTCTATTTCACTACTCTCCCACCACAAAGAAAAGCTCACTGTACTCTGTATCAGGCCTTAAAATGGTAAATCACGTCAAAGGTGTCAGTCCATTCACCTCTGTGATGAGCAGCTGACTTCAAAGACATTTATTACTCTAAGCACTGAATTTATGCCTTGCAATCTGTTGCCATAATGAAGGTAGAATATTTTCTTGTCATAAACGACACAAAGCATGAAAAAACTGACTCTAGTAAAGCAATATAATACTCTATGAAACAAGCTGGTGGGATGAAGAAGACGCTTACAGAACATCAGAGCATGCACATATCTCATTACTTAAAATTTGGATGGCATAAGTTACAGAAAGGTTGAAAAGCCTTCGTCTTGATGCAGAACTGTCTCCTACTACGTTTCTCCAGGACATTTCACATGTTGTCAGTCAAGTGATAGCAAACTTAGATGTTATGCTCATAAATAAACTGGATTGTAACAGTAGCAATATATGTCTGTGGTTTCCACTGCCATGTGTAGCAAACTTGACAGCAGTGAACTGTAACTGGAGTTAGTTCAACATAACAGCACTGTAAAATTATGGAAGGCACAAAGCTATGTTTTGATAATACATGGATTTAAATGAGGTTAAAATGAATATGATTAATGTCATTCAAGTCAGAAATTTGAATGAATTATGTAAGAAGTATAGAGCATTTCATGTTACATACCTTAGGTAGAATTGGAGTTGGCCGTTTTGTCTTCTGTTCGGGATTAAACCGGTACAGCTCCTGAAGGTCAGCCATGTTGTAATGCCTCTCAATCTGTTGCTCATCCACAACTCGGCATGATAGGGACAACTTTGTTACTTGCCGATCATAGATTTTTTCTTCCATTGTGCCCTACAATGAATTATGACACATTCATCCCAGTGCAGAATCAAAACAATTTCTTCCCACTGAAATAACAACCAACTTCCAATGTATATGAGACCTGGCACACAGAACATAAGGGGCATATAAAGCAGATTATGTGACAACAGTTGCATGACAAATGGCAAAATATAAGTTAGATATAGTGGGAGAACAGGAAATCAGATGGAACAGGCGGATCAATGAACCTGGAGATGATTATAAAATTCTCTATGGAAATGGCTATGATTGTCATGAACTGGGGAATGAATTTTTTTACATAAGAAATCATATCAACAGTTAAGAGGTGAGAGTTTGTCAGTGATGTCATATACAATACTAAGATGCTGCTAGTGTAATGTTATTCTGAATGTACATGCCCCAACAAAGGATAAAAATGATGATATGAAGGACAGCTCCTATGAGGAACTAGAATGTGTATTTGACCTATTTCTAAAGTACCAAATGAACATTTTGTTACGACACTTCAATGTCAAAGTAGAGAAGATACTGTTAAACAAACAACTGGGAGTGAGAGTTTACATTAAATTAGCAATGATACTGGAGTTAGATTACTAAACGTTGCCACATCCAAAATTCTGTCAACAGTACAGCGTTCCCACATCACAACCCTCATAAACTGACAGGAAGACATTGAATCAGCCTAACCATACTTTCATGGATAGGAGACAGCGATCTTCTTGCAGATTTTCACAACACTCTGAATATGTGGAAGAATTACTTCTCTCAGCTATTGAATGTACATAAGCGGCCTTTGTAGTCTAGGGGTAACGCCCCCACCTCATGACTCAAGGTATGCAGGTTCAAACCCGGCGGAGGTCGTGGAATTTTTAAGGGCGGAAAAATTCAGGGAACAAGTCCTCCGGGAGGGACTTTAAGCTGTGTGTCCCATGTTGTAGATTTACGGCATGTAAAAGAACCTCATGTCTCTAGGAGACCTCTGAGCTAAATTATTATGTAATAATTTCCCGCCCAAGTAGTTTCCAATGCCTCTGGTAGATGGGGGAAGCATCAAGGCCCGACCTTGTTGGCTCAACGGGGCTGATACCACACACAGTTACCGGTAGGGTATGGCGACAGTAGAAATTAAAGGGGGACGCACAATGGACCAAAACTGGTCTAAGTGCATGGGGAAACCCACCCCCTCTAATAATAATAATAATAATAATAATAATAATAATAATAATAATAATAATAATAATAATAAAAATAATAATATTGAATGTACATAGGGTTAGGTAGATGACAATGTCTGTGCTACAGTAAATCTACTGGGGATAAAATAAATATCATAAAATAAACACAGCTCTAATTATGCTGATGTCTTGTCACCTAAATCATAACACAAAAACAGGTAACAAAGCCTCTGAAAATGTGGCTAAGTTTAAAACACCTAAGATAATAAAAAAACAAAATTTGTTTTATGAGGAAATTAAGAGCAAACTTGATTTGGGTAATACTTGCTGCCATTCAGTTCAGAACCTTTCATCTTCTCATCTGTGTGTGAAACTTGGTCTCTTACATTAAGGGAAGAACATACGAGGTGTGTTCAGGAAATAACGGGAATTTTAAAATTTCGCGGGTTTGGAGAGTCCAATTGTCAAAATTTTTTTTTTATTATGTTGGTATACATGCCCCTGAAGTACAATAAAATTTTCAGCTGTATTCATTGCTTACTTTGTCTGTGGCAGCCGCTAAGGTTAGACGTGTTTTTATGAGCTTGGCGATTTTCGTTTGTTAAAAGAAATGGATCAAAGAATTTGTATCAAATTTTGCGTAAAAAATGAAATAAAGTGTTACAAAGTGTGTGAAATGTTAACAAAGGCCTATGGTGAGTCTGTTATGAGTAAAACAAGAGTTTACGAGTGGTATAAGCGTTTCCAAGATGGCCGTGAAGACGTTGCAGATGACGAGCGCCCCGGACGCCCCAGCACATCAACAACCGATGAAAACGTGGAAAAAGTGAAAGCAATGATTATGAATGATCGCCGAATCACAATCAGAGAAGTCGCTGATGATGTTGGCATATCGATTGGCTCATGCCATGAAATTTTTTCGAATGTTTTGGGTATGAAACGCGTGGCAGCAAAATTTGTTCCAAAATTGCTGAATTTTGAACAAAAACAGCGGCGAATGGAAGTTGCTCAGGAATCACTAAAGGAAGTCAACGATGATGCAGAATTACTGAAACGTGTTATAACAGGTGACGAAACATGGGTTTACGGATATGACGTTGAAACTAAGGCTCAATCGTCTCAGTGGAAGCATCCTGGATCGCCAAGACCGAAAAAGGCTCGACAAGTGCGTTCGAACGTGAAGGTTATGCTTACTGTGTTCTTCAATTTTAATGGCATAGTGCATCATGAATTCTTGCCTCAAGGTCAAACGGTCAATAAGGAGTACTACCTGAAAGTTCAACGCCGTTTGCGTGAGGCAATCCGAAAAAAACGCCCGGATTTGTGGAAAAACAATTCATGGCTTTTGCACCACGATAATGCACCTGCTCACACTTCGTTGCTTGTTCGTGAATTCTTGGCCAAAAACAATACTGTAACGATGCCCCAGCCTCCATATTCGCCAGACATGGCTCCGTGTGACTTTTTCCTATTTCCAAAAATAAAGAGAACCTTAAAGGGCCGTCGTTTTACAAGCATAGATGACATTAAAAGCGCATCGCTGAAAGAGCTAAAGGCTATCCCAAAAATCGAGTTTGAGAAGTGTTTCGATGATTGGAAGAAGCGCTGGTGTAAGTGCATAATATCGAATGGGGACTATTTTGAAGGCGACAACATTAATGTAGACGAATGAATAAATATTTTTTCCAAAATACGGAAATTCCCGTCATTTTTTGAACACACCTCGTACACTAAGGGTATTTGAGAACTGGGTGTTGAGGAAAATATCTTAACCAAAGAGGGATGAAATAACAGGAGGTTGGAGAAAACTGCACAATGAAGGGCTTCATATCTTGTACTCTTTACCAAATAAAATGAGAAAGATGAAGTTATGAAGGAAAAGATAAGCCAGGAAGGTAGTACATGTGGGACAGAAGAGGAATACATATAAGGTTTTGGTGGAAAAGTCAGGAGGAGACAGAACACTAGGAAGCGGCAATATTTGTAAACGGAACTTATTTTGTGGATACGCCTCATACTTATTGATTTTTGGATGTGGCAAAGATTACTACTCTAACTCCATTATCATTACTAATTTCATGCAAACACTTATTCCCAATTGTTGCTTTGAAAATATCTTCCCTACCTACTTTGGCACTGAAGTTTCCTAAAAGAATTTTCATGTGGTACTTCGGGAATTTATTAAATACATAGTTCTTTGTAGAGCCTGTCTTTATATCATCAATTTTATCTTCTGTTGGGGCATGAACATTCAGAACGATGATATCACACCTGTGTCCTCTTAGTATTATGTATGACATCCTATCACAAATGAACTCTCTCCTCTTAACTGCTGATACGATTCTCTTATGTGTGACAAAACCTGTACCTGATTCAGATTTTCATTCATCTTTCTGTAGAAAAATGTATATTCGCCTGCTGGTTTGGTGCCACCTCCATCCTATCTAACCTCCTATACTTCCACTAAATCTAACTTATATTTTGAGATTCCTTCTGCCACTGCCCTGAGCAAACCTGCCATATACCTACGTCTAACATTCCAAGTACCAAGTCTCCTATCCATTTTCTTTCATTTAGGCAATTTATCCACAGAATCTGTCCATTTATTCACACAAAATTAAAATTACAAATGCCATCTGCACCATACAACTACTCTCTGCATGATCACTACATCAAATAAGTTCTTTGGATGCAACTTCAGTTAAAAATCAATAACAAATCAACTACAATTTGAAAATAAGATGTAAGTGTAAAGTGCGAGAAGAAAAATGCAACTTTTCAATAGTGCGACTGAAATTTCTCAAACAAGGTGGCAGTTACAAACACTTAAAAACCATAGCCAACAGAAAGCCAATGAGAAAGCATGTAAAACCAGTGGATAATAAATTGGATCACTGGGAGAAAAAGGATTAATAATTACCAACCTTAATCTTCGAATTGATAAACTTATTACATGAAAATCTGTTCCGCAGTATAAAATTTACTTCTACTTGTTTAAGCGCATAGCCCATACCTGTGCTAGGAATCGATATATGTAGCATGGCTTCTTCTGGCCAAATCTGTACACCCGGAAGATGCTCTGAACATCATGCGAAGGGTTCCATGATGCATCAAAAATTATAACACGGTTTGCAGCATACAAATTTATGCCCAGACCTCCAGCACGAGTTGAAATGATGAAGAGGCGAGCCCTGCAGGTGACAGATTTAACAGAACAAATGTTAGACGCACACTCTCAGCTGCACATTCAATCTTCAGTATCTATCTACCTACCTAGCACTTGGCATTACAGCCTGGATGAGCCTTAGGCTCCTATACAACCAGTCTCCAATGCTCTAGTCCTCATTTTCTCTACCAATCCTTTCACTCTTTTAGGTTGTTCTCAACATCACCTAGCCATCTTATCCTGGGTCTTCCTTTTCTTCTTTTGGAATATAGCCTTCCTTTTAACATTCTCTTTGGCATTGCATTATATTCCGTCAATTTTGTAACGTATCATTTCTTGGGCTAGTTCCTGCATCTTTCCGGGTTGCAGCATTGCATGTATATTCCAAGTCACCATCACATCACTATTACTTGCCCTTTGCTTAGTCTGTTTCCCATATGTTCAACTTATCCGAGGCTGGTTGTTAGGTTTCTAAGCAAAATTCTTTTTACAGGATGTGGCTGTTAGCCTCATGCCCAACCTCCAACCTGGAGGACCAGGGTCTCTCTCTTAGTCTGAAACTACATGTCATCTGGAGTTGCTGACAAATAATGGAACATCTTCTGTACTGCATTATCAGGAGAAATAACTTTGTGGCATAATCTATAGGCTTACAGATACTAGTGTCCTTCTACCAAGCAAACTTATAAAAGTAAGACTGATCAGTACTGCAAAATGGAATTAGAGTTAGAGTTACATGGAGTTATATTAGAAATGTATTCTTTCTCAACTGAAATAATACAATAATCTCCAATAGAAGTAATACAGTATCATGTCATAATACTGTACACACTTCCTACATTAGCAACATATATCTATTGCCATCTGATATGAAAAATATTAACCCAGTATATTTGTATTTCCAACATTGTATGAATACCAAAGTATACTGAAAACAGAATCTAGTAACTTTCTAATTATAATCGCTAACTGACGATGATGCATTCTGGTTCATGGAATGGTCCAAGAATAAGCTTAACTTCACAGTTTCTATGTGACATCAGATCTTCAGCATCTGGATGGCAATAAATATATAAACATCATCCATACCTGCATATTTGAAACTGTGACCCTTAAATCTCTGTTTCAGCTTGTACTTGCACATTTCAATGCTGGCATAGTACGTAGGTAAGTCAATAAGTAAGTTATAAATGGATATAGAACTTAAACAAATAAGCGTTCTGATTTGAAAAATGTTTTCATTTCTCAACATAATCTCCCTGTACACTGAGGCACTTGTCCCATCATTTCACAAGCCCCTGAAAACCAGCAGCATAAAATTTTTTGGGCTGCTGTTGGAACCAGGCGGTGACTGGGATCACAAAGGCATACTGCTCACTGCATTCCAGCCTCAAGGACAAACCGTAAATGCCAACTCCTACTGTAACATCCTCAGGAAACTCTGTATGGCCATTCAACAGAAGTGACCAGGACTCCTCACCAAAGGCGTGTTGCTCTTGCATGACAACGCACGTCCCCATACTGCCAACAAGTGAGACGCTACAAAATTTCAAGTGGGAAGTCCTCAAGCATCCTCCGTATAACCCTGACCTTGCTCCAAGCGACTTCCATTTGTTCGGCCCTCTTAAACATCATCCTTTGGCTGAACATTTTTCCAATGAAGCTATAGAAAGCGAAATCACAGCCTGGTTCCGACAGCAGCCCAAAGAATTTTATGCTGCTAGTTTTCAGGGGCTTGTGAAATGATGGGACAAATGCCTCAATGTACAGGGAGATTATGTTGAGAAATAAAAGCATTTTTCAAATAAGTACTCTTATTTGTTTAAGTTCTATATCCTTTTGTAACTTACTTATTGACTTACCCTCATAGTCTGTTTCAAGACACATTTATTCCTAAAAGTGAAGAATGAAGGCTCCAGATAAATATATCTAAATATTTGCGGGACCAATAATTTCTGCAAACAGTTTCATATTTAAACTGGTCAAATATTTAATCATTTTCTAATTATAATAATGCTTTTGTGGGTGTCTTCTTTGCCTATTCACTCTCGCATCAATCACAGTTTCATCTTCCTTATCCCCAGGATTTATTGGAAATTGAACACTCTCATCACAATCATGAACATATACATAACTTCCACTATCATTATACAATATTTTTTTGTCACAAAATTCATCAAAATTTCAGTTCTGTTTTGCGCATCTAGTTCATAAGAAGTACTGCAGTCATTCTCACTCTACTCCCAAACGATCTGAAGGTCAACAAAATACTTATGTAGGGAATATACTAATGGAGACACAAAAATAGAACATCTACTGATATAAACATTCAAAGAAAGTCTTAAGAAATGACAGAATAATACCGATTGTCTTCCCTACTTGCAATCAACAAGAAATGTTCTTGTGGTACTACCGCTGGCAACTTCTACAGCCAGTACATACTCAGTATATGACCTTTAAGGACTTGTTTACAAACCTGTGGTTATCTTCACGATTGAAGGCCTTGCACCATATATTACGATTCTCAACTGATGTTGAACCATCAAGGCGAAAATAATCTAATCCCATAGTCCATGAACTGGCATTATTTCCTAGTGACTCTTCAGTTTCTTTCTCTTGTGTAGCAGTATCAGGGCATTGCAAAAAATATTCAATGAGGTTCAGCGAGGAGAGGGACTGGCTAAATACCAGCCTGAAACAGAATAATGCATATGGGACACAGTCTTACTGAAGAGTCCACATAAATTCCTATTACCAGGATCTCACATGACACCTCTTGATAAAAATTTCAGTAACTCACACACAGGACTTAACAAATAACTGGGCTGTACTCACGCTTTATCTCCAATTTTCTCACATTCCCGAAGTATGGAAAACAAAAGAACTAATTTTCCACTGTATTTCATATTTTCAAGTTCATCCCCTTCAGTGAACTGCTTCCACCAAGACAAAGGGTTTGTTTTCTCATCACCATCATCATCATCTTTATCAGCCTCTGAAGCTTCTGGTTCTATAACACACACCAGGCATATATAAAAAGACAATATGAAGTTGTGCGATTACTTCATATATTATTCTGTCCATGCAAGCTGAAATAATAAAGAAGATAAAAATATATTTGAATGCACAGAATAACATTTTTCCTTGCAATCAGAAATCACATTTATTTTCACTAGATAAATGAACCCAAGAAGATTCAATTCTGCAGCAATCTGGTTAACTTATCTTTAATTTTTGCATCCTGCTGTTTTGTATTATGTGACCAGTAAAACTGTACTTTCCTATCCTATCGCCATTGATGCCCTTATATTTTGGGCACACTTTCTTCAATTCCCAGTCTTTCCTAACTAATTATATGAAGGACAGTTTTCTTGCAAAGCTGCAAGTTCATCAGCTACTCAAGGAATTCCCCACCTTCTATGGAACACATAGGTTCATTCCCATTATCACAAAATTCATATTTATTCTTCTTCATTATGACATCAAGCAGTCTAGTAGAGGGCTATTATGTTTATATTAGCCCACCTACCAGTCCCTGTGGATGAACTCAGTTCTCCTTTCATATCCCATTTCTTCAAGACTGATTTTAATATTATCCTCCTATATATACCTACCTGTGTAATGTATATAAGCTTTGGTTAGTTAACAATATTGTGACAGCACAACCTAGAATTCATCCTGGTTTTATGTTCACAAGTTTGTTATTAACTTTGTACTGAAGTTTATCTAAAATGGAAAAGACACAGTCTCTCAAGTGATCTCTTCCTTAAAGGTTTTTTGACTAAAATTTTGCATGTAATTCTTGCATGTGTTATATGTCCCATCATCAAGTTCTCCTTGATTTCATTATCCTGACTGTACCTGGATGAGTGTAAACTATAAAGCTTGCTATCATGCAATCTTCTCCAGTCATTTCTAGAAGCTTTGATCTGTTCTAACAATGACACGATGCATGAGAAGTTAAATGAATTAATTAGATTCATATTGTGGTATTCTGGGTTATGACACCATGCAGTGTAGTAGCTGATTATGAACATTTAAAGGGAATATTTGAACCCACCTACCACACAACCCAGTGCCATAATTTCAGCATTTATATATGAATTATCAGATGTCCCAAACCAGACTACAGATTGACAATAGTCATGTATAATGGTGAGACCAATATTATTATTATTATTTATTTCAACCATAGCTGTAGAGAATTACAATTGGACATGTCAAACATCAACAACATCATACCAAAAATAACATAAGAAAAAAAAACATAACATTCACACAGTGACTCATGACTATAACACAGCAATACGTTTTTAACTTAATTTAAGAATAATAAATACTCAAAAAAAAAGACATAAGAATAAATATTTTAAACATATAGACAGATTTATTAACAAGCAGTTTACGTCAAAAATTAATAATAATAAATACTCCAAAAAAGGCATAAAAATATACAGACAGATTTATCAACAAAACAGTCCATGTCAACAATTATTAAAAAATTCTTGAAGAGAACAGATGACATTACACAACAAATAATTCTTAAGTTTCTTCTTAAAAACATTAAAATTTTTAACATTCTTTAATTCAGTTGGAAGGACATTAAATATTTTGGTACCCATACTAATCACCCCTCTCTTGCTACACTCACTATTACAAAATTGTACATACATATTGTGTTTATGAATAGTGTTATAGCCATGAACATCAGAATACTGGGTGGTATAAATCTTATTTTTTATCATAAAACATAGCATCTCAAAAATATATAACGAAGTAACAGTTAAAATCTTTAATTCACGAAAGAAATTTCTACAGGAAACTCTATTTTTAACACCTTTTATCACCCTTACACATTTTTTCTGCAGTTTAAATAGAGTTTCAGAGTCCTTTTGCACCCCACCCCAAAAAATAATACCGTATTTCAACATGGACTCAAATTTTGCAAGATACACACTTCTTAAAACAGTTTGGCTCACTGAGTCCCGTAGGGATTTTATCAAATAGGTAGTCTTGCTAAGTTTTTGACACACATATTGAGTGTGTGTTGCCCAACTTAAATCTTCAGTAATGCAAATACCCAAAAATTTTACATCCACTGAATAACCCACATCCTTATTATTTAAATAAAAAAAAGGGGTCTGGTAATTTGAATAGATCTACTTCCCCGAAAAAATAATACCTTTGTCTTATCCATGTTTATTATTAAACGATTTTCATAAAACCATTTTTCTAATAATCAATATATTTGTATTATCAGCAAATAGTACTACCTCTGCATTATGTATAACTTGGGGCAGATCATTTATAAATAATAGGAATAAAAGGGGTCCCAAAACAGAACCTTGAGGTATGCCATATTTAATTGCTTTAAGGGATGAGGTAACTGTCTTCATTTTTGAAGTCTTTTGATCCATATAGTGAATTTCAAGAAACTGTGATCTATCTGTAAGATACGATCTCATCCATGCATGAGATATTCCTCTCAGTCCATAAGGTTCCAACTT